TGGCTGAGCAGGCTGAAAGGGCCTTCTCCTCCTACTTCTTGTGTTATGACCCATTGCAACATCATTTTTATCTCACATGGGTATCCTGACTTGGTTGCGCACCGCTGCCCCCTTGTAGTAATGGGTTCAATATCCTGGCATTCCTTATCTCTTCCTATCTTTACAGTCTACATGATGATACAGCAGCACGTGAGCTAGGAGTAGGAATAAGGTCATTCAGCTCATCAAGCCCGTTTCTCCATTCAGTTTGGTGGCTGATCTGTTTGTGTTGCCTCAACCTTGCTTTCCCATCAGTATTCCTGGCCCTTGACTCCTCTGAATCAATAATCTATCCAACTCACCCTTTTGAATCTATCCAATGTCCCAGCCTCCATTGCTTTCTGGACAAAAGAATTCCATGGACCGACAGCCCTCAGAAAATAGGCTCTCCTCATCATGGGAGGCCTCAATATTTAAACTGTCCCTTCTAGTTCTGGGTACCCAAAAATGGGAAGCATTCTTTCATCACTTATTCTGTCAAGACCCCCCTCCCACCCCGCCAAGGATCTCGTATGTTTCAATAAAGTTACCTCATTCTTAAATTCAGTGAGTAAAGCTCCAACCTGCTCAATCTTTTCCTTACAAGATGAAACCCCTTCATGCCAGGTATAGACTGTGTGCGCGTTAATCTGCTTCAAGAAAGCTACTGGGCACCTTAGGACAAGAAATAAATATGGTGCTGCCAATGTCACCCATATCCCTCAAGTACTCCAATGCATAAGCAGCAGCAACTTTCCTGTTTCCCTGTAGTGTGTATGGGCAAGGTCCTTGATCGTTACTTTACCTGACACATGCCACTGCAGCCCATATGGGACCTTGTTACTCTCTGTGTTAAGGGAAATGCCTGCAATGGTGCAGTACAGTAGGAATTCCCCCACCTCTTCCCCTGAATCTCTTGCCAGGAATCCACCCTGATGTACAAGATGACGAGTTAGTTGATCACCATAGTTCGTAGAATTGTAGAGTCCCTACAGCGTGGAAACAAGCCTTTCAGCTCCAGTCCGCGCTGATCCTTTGAAGAGCATCCGACCATAACCCACCCATCTTCATAACCCCGCAATTTCCATGGCTGCCCACCTAGCCTGCATCTCCCTGAACACCAGGGCAATTTAGCATGGTTAATTCACCTAATCTGCACATCTTTGGATTGTGGGGGGAAACCCACCTAGACATGGAGAATGTACAAATTCCATGCAGTTAGTTGCCCGAGGGTGGATTTGAACCTGGATCCCTGGCGCTATGAGGCAGCAGTGCTAACTACTGAGCCAACGCACACTTGAAGGAATTGCACCCTTGGGTTGTGAAGGACCCTGTGAAATTGCGCTGTTTGATTTGTTTTACTGAGGAGTGCAAGGTCCACATTGTAACTGGTTGCATTGACCTGAGACAGAGAGTGAGCTATGTTTCTTTCTCCTCCTCTTTTCTCTTCCCCCTCCTTTCTCAATTCACCACCCACCCCCAGTTGTGGTATTAATAATTCTGTGATTTCTGATGACCTGTCTGGTCTGTATCTGGTTTGTATCAAGTGGTCTATGACCAATGTTCCCTCTAAGTGCACATGTGCGCAGCCGCTCCAAGAGTCTGCGCACGCTGATTAGAAAAAGAAATTAGGAATGCTGGCTATGATCCGTTATTTTTACAAACATGTCCTTTGGAGTAGGAGCAGCCTTCAGCCCCTTGAACCTTCTCTGTCATCTTGATTGTGGGTGATCATCTACCTCCGTACCATTCTTCCACTCTATCCCCTATCCCTTGGTGTCATTACTCCATGGTGGAGTGAAGAAAGTCCTCTTCGTTTCAATCCTAAATGGCCGACCCCTCTTGTTCTGTCATTCTGTCCAGAGCAAATGTTGAGCATCTACTCTAGTGAGCCCTGTGTGAATCTTGAAAGCTGCAACGAGATCACATCTTACTGTTGCAAGTGCAAGAGAAAGCTGGCCTAATATTTAGCTGGTCTGACATTGGCAGTTTGTATTCCTTTTGTAGGGGTTGGGAAGGTGAAAGTGTTCCTATGGAGCATGGGGAAAGGGGTGCCTTAGTGACCTGTGGTACTCTTAGCTTGTCAGGCGATGATTTGATTTGCTGGGTGGGGTTGTCAGCTCTTGGGGACAATTTGATATTTCCAGCTGGGGACTTGGAAGCTGAACGCAGTGTTTCTCATGCTTGTGGGTTGCAATTGTTCTCCTCCTCATGGAGAAGGAGCAGTTTAATACAGGTGTTGAATTTTATGCTGCGCTTTAGTCATGAACAAATTATTTCCATTGGTGGGAGGCTCAGTAACCCAGGGATTTACTCGACCAAAGGCTGACTGGGGATACCATTTGGTCCCACAGTTTTAAAAAAAAAAAAAAAAAAAGGATTTAGACTGCACTGTTTGCTACAAGTAAGAGCCCAAGAAATGAGAGCAGGGATATGCCATTCAGGTTGTCAAGTGTATTTGTCAGGTTGTATTTGACATAGGACTTGGAGCACACTTTGCCCTTTCAAGCCTGTTCTGCAATTTAGTGTAATCATGACTGAGCAACCCTCTTGATATTACAACTACTCCCTAAATATCTTGATTCACTGAGGGACCAAAGAACTAACTTCCCAGCTTTTATCTTTTCAATAAAGGAGCGTCCACAACTTTCTGTGGTACAGAATTTCATAGATTCAAACCCTTTGTAGAAATTTCTCTTCATCTCAGTCCTAAGTGATAGGCCCCTTAACATGAGACTGTGCCCCAGTGTTTTGGATTCCACCACCAGTGGAAACAACCTCTGTCTCCTCTGTCCAAGCCCCATCAGGATCTCGTACCTGTCAATGACATCCTTCTATTGTAAACTTCAGAGGATATAATCATAATTTACCTGGCCGTCTTGGTTTAAACATGTTGAACTGGAGAGGAGACTTGCCACGTTGCTTCGTTAGCTTCTGTAATGCACGAGAGCTTTCTGCATTTGCTGGTAGCATTGTCAAATCAATTGCTGCATTTATAAACAGCAAGTTACTGAAGTGGTGTTTGCACTTCTGCTTTGTTCAAGCAGCGGGTGAGATGTACACTGACAGGCTGGCACTATGGTGTGGGTACAAAGTGAGGTTCAGCTGGCAACAAGTAGATGATTGGTTTGTGGAGTTCAGGATGCCTTGGGCTCTGTGTTTTACAAAAGGGGTTTTACAAGAGGGTAAGCACTTTAACTGCTAAATACGTTGATAGTTCATAGTTGTTAACCTGTGGTTTGCAATCTACTTGTTATACATAGTAGTCCTTGATAGTTGCAGAAAATTAATGTGTTTTCTGTCAGAATAGAGAACTTTGCATTTTCTATCATTTTTTTGACAACTCTGAATACTGGGGCCTGATTTCCAGTGTGCTACTCTGAGATGTACACTGAACAATGTTTATGCCAAGCACTGTTGTTGCAAATCTTTGTAGTGGACCTGTCAAGATTTTTGATAGGGGGAGGAATTCTTTTTTAAAAAATTAATTCCGATTTCTTGCTCTTCTCAATCTGTTGAAAGTGTTGGTGAGGTTCCATGTTCAGCTGTTCTGATATGGTGTAACTACATCTACGACAATATTCCAGAGAGATGTGTGGAATGTTTTTTGCAGCGTATTCAATACAACCCAGTAGTGGCTACCCTCTGGAAATGGCTTAGTGTCCACCGCATTGCAGTGGGATCTGAATTGGTGTTTGCATATAGGCCAGACTGGGCAAGGATGACAGATTTCTTCCCTTAAAGGACACTTATGAAGCAGGTACATTGCGTGGCTTGTTGGGTTTCATTGTCACTGTATCTGAGACCAGCTTTTTTCCTAGGTTGATTTAGTTAAATTTTAAATTCTTGCGGTTGCCGTGGGATTTGAACTAGTATCTGTTGGATCATGACTCCAGGCCCTCAGTAACTTTGCTACCATCCTTCCGTTTTCTTAAATTCAACTCAAACCTCCTTTTGAGATTGTTGCTGTCAGAGCTTTTTGAATCTGCTTCGTTTCGTGCTCAGAGTTGGCCGAGTTGCTGGCGTGCATCGCAAATCTCTTGGCAGGGAAACTTGGATAATCAGTGTTTTGTTTTCAGGTGGGTTGGCATGGTGATTCTCCCTTAACTTGCCTGAAATGGCATTCACTTTGGGCAGAGCCAAGATGAACTTGGAGTTTGCTGTCTGTTAACTCCTTCAGTGCATCTGATTGCACCTTTGGATCAGGCCGAGGTACACAGTCTCCGGCAGCTGTTTGAGTTTGTGGCAGGTGGTGTGCAGTGGAGTGTGTGGGACCTTTTAGATTTGGGAAGAAGATGCTCCAGTTGAGCTGGGGCTGGCACGTTTTTAGCATGTGTTCATCAGTGGCAGCAACTGTGCACAAGCCCAAAGACCATACTGGAAGGAAAAATGATGAGTGCGTTTTCTGTGGTGAGCTCTGGGCCCAAGCCGTTGATGTTTCATTGCAGCTACTTTAGTTGGCCAGTCACTCGGGAGAGGCTGAGGGAGGCAGCTACATGAATGGGGATTTTACTGATGAGGCTTTGAGTTATAATGTTGGTTTTGATATGCGCAGGCAGCACTGATGTGGCAGCTTCATGTTTTCTTGAACCGGGGGAGTCCTCGCTGCCAGTACAGGGCCCTGTTTCCTTTTAAGTTGAGGGGACTGGCTTTGAAAAGTAAAACATTGGCCAGAGTCTTTCTCAAACTGAGGTCACTGTTCTTTCTGCTCCCTTGCAGCCTGCTGACTGCCGAACTCTGATTGAGAAGCTTAAGGCCTGCAATGATGAGCAGCTCCTGACGGAACTTCAGCAAATCAAGACATGGAATATCGGAAAGGTAGGAGTTCAGTGTGTGTGTGTGTGTGTGTGTGTGTGTCTGTGACAACTGCTGCGATAACCTGTGGCTCCATAGACTCTATAGCATCATGTAGCAACCCTGAGCAAGCATCACCTCCTTGAACATGCTTGATTAGCCCTGGACAAGGGCCCCCTTTCAGCATGGTTACCTCACCGGTGGATTCATTTAAACCTGAACACCCAGATCTCCTGTCTGGAGCTTGAGATTTAAAAATCCAGGTCCTTGTATGTAGCTCTCAAGGTTTCATGGTTTTGTAGCTTCACTGCCAACTACCTAAGTGACTTATTTCTGAAAATTTTTTTGCTGAAGTTTTTCACCATCGGGACAAACATGGGTGTGCCGAATTTCAAGGGTCTTGTTTTTGTACACACACTCTTCAGGCTGTAGAAAGTTATGTTCTTTTTGTTGTGCCTATTTTGAAATACCTAGCAGCTTTGCGAATTGGCTGTTTTCCCCCTCGCCTTTCACCATGGCAGTGCCAACCAAACAGTGGCCTCCTTGCTCCAGCAGTGACGCTTTGAAATTTGGTGTTCTTGTGTTTGTCCTAATAATTGCAAGACAAACACTTTTTGGCAACAAGTCTGCCTTTACGGTGATTGTCTTTTTTTTTAAGCAGTCAGAAGTGTGCCTTTTACATCCTCCGGTATCCTGAAGTACTCTCAGTTAACTGAGTGCAATCACTTGGAAATGCAGCAATCACTTGGAAATGTAGCAATCACTTGTACATGGCTAGCTCCCATGACATAATAATGATCTTCTAAGTTTCTACTTAATCACTGACTTTGCTCAGCTCTGTAGTCTATTTATTTTTTTAATGTTTCTCTAACTCTTTTTAATAAAAGCAAAATACTGTGGATGCTGGAAATCTGAAATAAAATCAAAGTGTAGAAAAATTGCCCATCACTCCTTTTTAAAACTTTCTCCTGTCGCCTTAAAAATGTGCTTGAAATCCCCCACCCTTGGGGAAAGACACCTGCCATTCACTTTATCTATACCGTCCATGATTTTAAAAAGGTCACTCCTCAACCTCCTATGCTCCAGTTTTTAAAAAAAATAAGTCCTAGCCTATCCAGCCTCTCCTTATAATTCCATACCTGGCAACATCCTGGTAAATCTATTCTGGACCCCCTGCAGCTTGATAAAGTTCTTCCTATAACGGGGCGGTTTTCCTTACACTTTATTTCTCTGTCTCTCTCCCTCTCTCTCTGTCCTCAGTGCGAGCTGTACCACTGGGTAGACCTGCTGGATCGGTTCGATGGAATTTTGGCAGATGCTGGGCAGACTGTGGAAACCATGTCCTGGATGTTGGTATGTGACAGGCCAGAAAACGAACAGCTCAAAGCTCTCCTCCTGGCTGTCTTAAATTTCACCGCTCTGCTCATTGAGTACAGCTTCTCACGGCACCTGTACAGCTCTATTGAGGTGAGCGCGTAAGCTAGATTGTCAACCAAATGGAGTATGTATTCCAGAAAACGAGCGGATTTTACTGACCTCTCCACACTCTGTTCACAGCATCTGACTACCTTATTAGCATCATGTGATATGCAAGTGGTGCTTGCTGTATTAAATCTGCTGTATGTGTTCAGCAAGAGATCCAATTATATCACTAGACTCGGATCTGAGAAGAGGACTCCTCTGTTATCAAGGCTACAGCACTTAGCGGAGGTAAATTCTGGGCAGATTTGTTTTCAGCTCTCGCGTGCTGTCTCCTTTTTATAGAGTCATACAGCATGGAAACAGACCTTTCGGTCCAACTCGTCCGCGTCGACCAAATATCCCGCGTCTGACCTTGTCCCGTTTTGCAACATTTGACCCATATCCCTCTAAACCCTTCCTATTTATCATCATTTCTCTTTTCTCTTTTTTTCCCCCCCCCCCTTTTCTTCCCCCCCCCCCCCCCCCAACTCCCCTCAACATGCATATTAAAACCAAACAACTACCAATGGCAATTTTTTTAACTGTAAACCAAAATTGCTGGAAAACGCAGCAGACCCTGCTGCTCCTAAAACAAAACCGGGTGGGATTGAAAGTTGTGAGGAGAATGCAAAGAAGCTCAATGTGATTTAGACAAGTTGAGTAAGTTGGCAGTCTCGTGGCAGATGCAGTGCAATGTGGCTAAATGTGAAATTCTACACTCTGGTGTGAAATTCAGGCTGAGTATTATTGTAATTGGCAATATATTGGGAAGTGTGGATGTACAAAGGGATGCGAGTGTCTTTGTATGCTAGTCAATGTAAATAAACAGGTAACCCGGAACTAGGAAGGCAAATAGTATGTTGGCATTCGTTGCAGGAGGGTTTGAGTTCAGAGGTATGGATATATTACTGCAGTTATACAAGGCCGTGGTGAGACTACACCTGCAGTATTGTGTGCAGTTCTGGTGCCTCTACCTCAGAGAGGATACACTTGCTATAGAAGTGCAGTGAAGGTTCGTTGGGTTGGTACTGGGGATGACACAACTTTCCGATAAGGAGAGATTGGTTTGATCAGGCCTGTGATTCAGTGGAGTTTAGAAGAATGAGATGGAATCTGTTTGAAACATATCAAATTCTAACAGCTTTGTAGGCTAGATGCAGGGAGGATGTTATCCTTTTGTTAGGGAACCAGGGGATCACAGTCTTATGATGTGAAGTAAGTCACTTAGGACTGAGATGAGGAAATGTTTCTTCAACCTGGGAATTCACTGCCACAGAAGGTAATCAGGTAGGTCACTGTGTTCAAGAAAGACATTTTTTTAGATGTTATGGGCCTATTACAGATATTAACATGTTAGTCAGTTGAGGGCTGCTTTGTCCTAGATGGTGTCGAACTTCTCAAGTGTAGTTGGGCCTGCACCCATCCAGGCAAGTGGGAAGTATTCCATGACACTAGTAGAAAATAAGTCTTTAATTTTCCCCCCCTCCCCAGTGCCATAGTCCTCACTGTTGGGGTTACAGCAGTCAGGCCTTAAAACATGTTCACAGTCGGAGGGTGGGGTGAAAAAAGGATTGAGGGGCTCAATTAGTTTAGATTATTCCCTGATTCAGAGATCTGAGCTACTTTTTAAATCCATGCTGTCTAGCTGCTCCTTCAATTAACTTGGCTGAGCCTTCATGGAGCAAGATTTTACTTTATCATATTTTACTTGCTAAGAGAGAAAAAAAATTCCTGTCTTTCTTTCAACAGAGTTGGGGTGGAAAAGAGAATGGATTTGGCCTTGCGGAGTGCTGCCGTGATTTACAGATGTCGGTGAGTGACATTCCAGGGACGTTCTGGTTAAATCTGACACAGCGTCTGACATCGAGTGAATGCTCTGCTCTTGGTGTGACTTGCTCATGGTCGCCAACACGTGCGGTACCAGGGTGGTGTCAACTAATGAACCAGAAACGAACCTGAGCCATGTAGCGCGCCGACACACTCTGCACGCCTCTCGTTTACAATTGCGTCAAGTCTCACTGCTCCGGACAGTCCCTTCTGCACAGGGGGATGTGCTCTGGACTTGCACCCTGCTGTTAATAGAGGCCAGCTTTCCTGTGCCCACTCACTGATCCAGATTGTGGGCGCAGCTGGCCTCTGCCGGAGGCTTAGATTACGTCACTTTCCAGGGATTTGTATTGCAGTCCACTTTTGTAATTACAACTTTACCTCTAACTATTAACTCCCTGTTTCCCTGCTGCTGGATGTAATCGTGAAGGCCTCGTGGGAGTGTTTGTGTGGGTCTCTACATCACTGAGTAGCTATCTCATCAAAAATAAAGCGTCCCCTGGCACTTGGACTTTGCTCCTCGATATTGTGGTCATGTAGGAAATAAACTGCACCCCACATCCAAAAGAAAAGTCTGTCATGTAATGCTGTTGTGGGGTGAGTGTTTGATCTGAGGGTGGCAAGAGCAGTGGCTAAAATGATAGGTCTTCGGGGATGTGTAATGGCCTCTGTGTCCAGCTCTGCCTGAACTCGGTTTAGTGTTGGCCAGTGTGTGGAGTAGCTTCAGCCTTTGTGTGGTCTTTTCCAGGGTAGGTCACTTGTAGGTTCTGCACCCTTCCCCACAGCTCTGTCAGCAGCCACTTCACGTAGTGCCAAAAGAATTGCTGTGCTCCTTAACAGGCCTATAAAGGTCTGAGTGTTTGATGTGCTCCAGCTTGGCAGTGAGGGAATGCTCCAGTTGCAATTTCAGTGGAGAGAAGTGTGCATTGTTTTCCTATACAGTCCTGTTAAAGAGCAGGAAACAATGACCGCCTGCAACTGTGGTGCATCGGCGCACGCTGTTGTGCAATTATACCCATTTTTATTTTTGTGCTGTTTGATTTTGTTTCTCGTTTAAGTTGGCTGTTAAGAAAGGACCGCAGCCCTGAACCTGTTGGGACAGCGAGGGAGAGGATGGGAAGAAAATGCTCAAACACACGAATGTTTGGCCTGAAATTGCCGCTCCTGCATTAGTTGAGGGCGTTAAGCAAGCTTGTGCATTCACATTCCTAGTCCCACTTCTGTTGTTTTGTCAGTCAGTCCCATCTGCTGTAAGTTTGGGACCCAGATCCTAGGATTCCATCAACTCTGATTCAATGCCAGATACCTTTGGCAGCTCAGCAACCAAATCCCCCTGCCCCCTTTCTAGATGACAGAAGCTTTGTAATTAAACATGAGCTAATTAAAGTGTTTATAGTAAAAACAAGCAAAGCAGCTTACACAGGAGTGAGGAAAACCATAAAACTGCAAATCGGGTAATAAATTCCCTCTTTTTTTTGTCCTTTTTTTTTTCATATAGAAGTACCCACCTAGTGCAACAACACTACACTTTGAGTTCTATGCAGAGCCAAGTGCCGAGGTGAAGTTGGACAAAAAGGTGAGGTTTCGTTTTTTTCTCCCCAAAGATGTTCTGAGCAGGCATTAGCTTAAAAGGACAGAGCTCTCTCACTTCTCAAGTGCCCTCCACATCCCCGGGACATTCCAGATCACCCTGACCCCTACACTGCCCTTGCACAGCCAAAGTAGTACGTTTTTGAGGTCTAGCCTTCGCTTGCATAGGGAAACGCCGCAGCCTAGTTTGTGTATAGGAAGCTCCCACAGTCATCAGTGAGGGTCAATGGCCAGTTATGGGACAAATGTGAGGCCGAGATAGTGGACAGAATGACCACTGCTCCTCTTCAGTCACAGGGTCTTTTTATCTGGTCTGAGATCAGAAACAAAGCCTTGCTTTTTAGCCATCCCCTACGTTCTACTGGCTCTTGTCATTCTGACAGTAATTAAAAGGGTTATCCGCACTAAGGGCCTCCCTTGAGCCTAGTTATTTTTTCATTGAGAAATATTTTGTGTTGAGCACTGGGCTGTGTATGAGCTCCTTGCACTGCTGTTCAGATTGGAGAAAAGGTGAACATGGTATGAATTGTACACAGCCTTGGATCCCTTTTTGATTCCTGACCGCCGCTGTAGGAGCAGAACTCGGACCCATCTTGGCTAATGGGTTAGAAACTAAGACGTGGGCCTTGCACATAATTTAGAAACTGTTCTAGGCTGAGTTCAACGCAACTCTGATGTTTCTGTTCCTATGTTAAAGAAAACAGGCCATTCAGCTACTTGGGCCTCTACTGCCATTCAGTTGGATTGTGGCACTCCATTTTATTTAAAATCTATGGCTTAACAAAAGGCTGTTCACCATTTGTCTTGCAATTCTCTATTGACCCTTCCCCCTCCACCACGCTTCCCACAAGCACTTGGAGGCAAGAGTGGGCTTAGTGTATAATAAGTGTTTATTCTTTTATTTTTAGGTCTATTACTTTGTTTGTTGGTCACAGGGCTGGAGAAGACCATTCAGATTCTTGAGCCTGCTCTACTGATCTGATCTGAACCCTTCATAGCTTTTAGTTTTCAGAAATCTCTCTATCTCGGATTTAAAATCAACAACTGATCCTGCAATAGTAACTGATTGCAGAAGGGAGGTCCAAACCTCACTAAACAGCCCTTATCCTGTCCCATCCCTGACTTCCCTTGCAGCAGAAGTATTTTCTTTCCTTGACCGTATTAACTCACCAACAAAGCTCTGAAACTTTGGTTCAGCTGCCCCCTTAACCCACTCAATTCCGGGGAACACAGTGCAAGTCCGTGCCTAACCCCAATTTGTAACTTAACCCCGAGCTGTGTTTGAGTGTTGTTTTGGTAAATCTCCACTGCACTCACTTGGCAACTACTTACAATAACTCCTGGTGTGTTCTAACCAGAGATTTGAATGGCTGGAGTATGACTCCTTGCTGATATAAAGGATAACATTATTTTAGTTTGCTTATTTTCTGTAACTGTCCCTGATAAATTGCTAGGAGGGTAGATGGTGGCTTCATCGTAAGGTCACTGGGCTAGTAACACAGAACCCCTGGCTGACAATGCACTGGGGTCATAGATTCAAATCCCACTACAGTAGCTAGTGGAATTTTTAAGCTCATTTTGTAAAATCTGAAATTGAAGGGTGATCGTGACAAGTATCATCGAATATTGTTTTTTAAAAAAAAAAGTGCTGTTCCAGAACCTTCAGGGAAGGAAATCTGCTGTTCTCACCCACTGTGAATAGTGTGTAATTTCAGATCTGCAGCGACATTGTCTCTTAACTGCCCTCTGAAATGGTCACGAGGCAGCTAGGGGCGGACAAAAGTGATGTTCACGCCCCATGAGAAAATAAAGAAACAAATGATCTGTGTACCTAGACTCCCTCATTCCTAGTGTTGGATATTAAAAGAAATAATTTCTCCCCGATTGCCCCATCGAATCCGTATATTGTTTTAATTTTCTCATTTAGATCCCCTTCAGTCGCCAACTGAATTCTCAAGGACATAAACAATGCTTATGCAACCCGTCCTTGTAGTTTTACCCTTTTAGACCATAATATTGTTGCTGTGTAGGCAGTTGCTTGAGTGAAGGGTAGGCAGCACTGGAGCTGTATCCTGAGAGTTTCTTTTCATGAGGGGTTTGTTGATGGGGGTGAACTGTCCCTCATCAGCTTTTGGATCTCCTGTGCACTGTTTATGGAGGTGTTGCCTGTCAAGTGGGGCTGTATCTGAAATTGGATAGGCTGATTTTGGTAGTCGTATGATCAGAGGCATAGGGTCCCAAACTAGTGGGTGGCTTGGACCAACACAGTGCTGTGATAATCCAGCTGTAGATGGATATTAAGCAAATTGCGGTTGGAGTCTTCTCTATTTACAGACTGCCAAAAATGTCGTCATCAGGTGTCAAACTGCACAAGGTCGCGCAAGTAAATTTGTGGCACTTATTAAAATAGCCTGAGATCCCACTGAGAAATGTTCCCCTTCCTAGTTTGCACGCTGCCTTTCACAATCTCAATATCAATGTGGTCACTGTGATGATGCAAGAAATACAGCAGTAGCACGTTGTGCACAGCCAGCTCCCACAAAGTGATGTGAAAATGACGCATAGATGTTGGAGCAGAAGTAGACCATCAGGTCCCTCAAGTTTGCTTCACCATGCAATGAAATTGTGACTGATCCAATAAACTTCAACTCCACTTGCCTGCCTTCGCTCCATAAACCTTGATTTCCTTACGGAGCTTATTGATTCAACCCTTCAATGTAAAAAAAAAAATTCACATTGCTGGAAAAAAACAATATAATAGTTCATTCATTATCAAGAGTGTGACTGTGCTGAAATAGTTGAAGAATTCGGGACCCGGATAATCTGAGCGATGTTGGTTGATGGGATTAAATATTAGCTCAGACACCCAGGTTTGGCACACTGTTACCTTGTGGGGTTTTTTTTTTGTTTAATCTAAATTTTAACAGTGGACATGGCCTTAGCTTAGCACCTTATTCAAAAGGTGCCTCCTCTGATAGAGCAGAGGGAACGCTGCACTTAAGTGTCAACCTGTATTTCTGAGTGCGTGTTTGGGGGTTCTGAGACCACCTGACTTGGGGGAGTGTGCCTTGGCTGGCTGGGTGTAACAAACTTCAGGGTAAACTTGTTTCCAGAAAACAGATCATTTGCAAATCAGAGCAGCATGCTGGATTAGACATGGCATGTCTGGCATGCAAGCAATCTATTGCAGAAAGCTGATTTAAACCTTGTCTCATTGGAACATCGGAGATTGAGTGGTGACCTTACAGAGGTTTATAATATCATGAGGGGTATAGATAAGGTGACTGACCGGTGTCTTTTCCCTAGGGTGAGGGATTTCAAGACCAGGGGGCATATTTTTAAGGTGAGAGGAAAGAGAAATTAAAAAAAAAGGGAAACTTTTTTTACAGTTGTTTGTGTGTGGAATAAACAGAGGAAGTGGTGGATGTGGGTACAGTTAGTGTTTAAAAGACATTTGGATAAGTACGTGAATAAGTAGTATTCGGAGGGATATGGGCCAAGCGCAGGCAGGTGGGACTGGTTTGGTTTGGGGTTATGGTTGGCACATAGACCCTTCAATTCAACCAGTCTGTTTCCATGCTCTATGACCTCTGAGAGGAAAGATTCCCCATCATGTGAGGTATGCAACAGGTGATCCACTGTGGCCGGGAGTGAAGAGGGTATTAAAGTGGAATGGTGACTGACTGTCGGGAGTCAAGGGATCAATAACTTTGAGCTGTGTGTTTTTTCAAGTGCCCTTTCGAACTTGAGTAACGCTATATCTCATACAGAGAGATTTAGAATCCTCTGCAGGTATGTGGGTGTGCTCCGTTTGCACAGCTTCGAGCTGTCAAACTGGGTGCCATGAGCCTCCCCCAATGTCACGCCCTGTTCCCTCGTGTAGAATGATGTCTCGCTGTACTGTGCTACTTTGAGGTACCACTGGGATCGGAGAGGCAGAATTGGTTCAAGCTGCCACCTGGTGTGGTGGTCAGAGACGCCAGTTATATGCTGCTTGAGGGCAGCCAAGAGCCCCTCAAAACTTGGGTAGCAGAGTCGGTCCTCTGCTACCCGTCACAGGGTGGTTGGTTATTAATGCCACCTTCCTGCCTCCTCCCCCATCCCTTGATACACCAAGTCTCCCAAAAAGCTGTTGAACTCTTGTCTTCATGACTGAAACCACAGCCCCTGGGTTAAGGAACTGCAAATACACACTTCCTTCAGAGGGAAGGGATTTCTCTGCAGTGGCCAACCCCATATTCTGAGAGCGTGACAGTATTGTGGACTCTCCAGTCGGGGGCAGTAGCACCCACCTCCATGCAGCCCTCTTCAACATGATCATTGTCTATTCTTCTGAGCTTGGTGTATAAAGCTAGACATTCAAACTCTCCATACAGGTCAACCAGCTTCATCATTTTTGCGAAACATAAACCTTGAGAGCGTGGCCTACATATTCGGGTGAGCTGACCCAACCACGTTAGATTTGCTTCAGTATCGATGGGTTGTAAGGCACCCTCCTCCCCCATCGGGTTTGTTTCATCTGCCCATGTTTTCCCAACATGCATGCACTGCAGTTTAACCTTTTGGTGCCCTTTATAAATCATATTTTGCAGCTTCCCATTTGTCAGGGGAGTGTTATGTACTGCGATAAGTTAGAGATATGTTAGTGTTGCATGGTGTTAACCCATGTCTTGTAACCTCTTCTGTTGCAGGCCACAGCAAACAACACACTACATTACATTCACATAGAGCAGTTAGATAAGGTGAGTGCTTCTAAGTTTCACTCCCTTTCAGTCTAAAGTCGATGTGTGGAGTGGGAAGTAGTGGGGGAGTGGAGAAAAGGGTGTGAAATGCTAAGTGAATACGGGAGGGAGCGCGGCTGCTGGAACCTGCCACCAGAACTGAGAAGGCTGGAAATTCTCTGCGGGTCAGGCAGCATCTGTGGCAGAGAGGAACAATGTTTCAGGTTCTTAACTTTCAACCAGAGCCGTTGGCAGCGTCACTCTGACCAGACACGATAACTCTTCCGACACACCACCTAACCCGTGGAGCTTTTCCAGTTGTTTTGTTTTGGTTCTTATGATTGTGAATGGATGTTTGTCCTGAAAACCAAAAAAGTTGATGTCTTGCGTGTTGAAAAATGTGAACAGAGCACTGAGAGCTTCCAGCCCCGAGCAGGAGCAGCATTGAACACCACCTTTGTCCCTTCTCCTTTATTTCTTTTGCTCTGCCCACCCACCTACTTTGTGCTGTGCCACTGACGCCAGTCACCAGAGAATGGTGCGTGCCTTGACCAGTTCAGGGGTTGAACCTGGAGCCTTTCTGTTCTGTGGCTCAGCGTCACACCAGATTGGTATACCTGACTGTTTAGTTATGGGGCGATTTTTGGGGGGCTGACTGGTGAGTCCTTGGCTTGTTGTATACATTTGTGCAACGATGTTGGCAGACTATTTGCCCCAAAGCCCCTCTCCGGTTGGTGCTTTTGCTCGAATTGCAGTGGTTGTACGTATAAGTCTCACGGTTTTATCTTTTGGCCGTTACCAATCGCTCTCACCATCTGCCCCATAGGCTGGGGTCAAACTTTGGATCTTGTTTTATCACCGAACATTGACTCTATGTAACTCCATTCCCCTGTCCCTGGAGGAAGCTGTGCCTGGGCACATGGACTCTCTTCTGCTTCTCGATATCTCCACATTTGAAATAAGAACTGTAAAGATGAACTGTGCTGCTTCTTCCTCCTGCCTCTGGCCATGTTTCCTGCTCCAACCCTAAATGTCAATTGTGTGGCCTTGATTAGGGCAGCACGGTGGCTCAGTGGTTAGCACTGCTGCCTCACAGCGCCAGGGACCTGGGTTCAATACCACCCTTGGGCACCTGCCTGTGTGGAGTTTGCACGTTCTCCCCGTGTCTGTGTGGGTTTCCTCCGGGTGCTCCAGTTTCCTCCCACAGCCCAACAATGTGTAGGTTAGGGTGGGTTGGCCGTGCTAAATTTCCCCTGGTATCCAGGGATGTGCAGGTTAGTGGGACTGGCTGTGGTAAATTGCCCCATAGTGTCCAGGGATGTTCAGGCTAGGTGGATTATCCATTGGCAATGCAGGGTGTCAGGGATAGGGTAAGGGGTGAGTCTGGGTGGGATGCTGTTCGGAGGGTCGGTGTGGACTCGATGGGCCAAATCGCCAGGTTCCACACTATAGGGATTCTATGAATTGTAATTTCATTTGAATTGTTTGTGTCATCAAGCCAGTTATTAATTCAAAACTTGATTGCCTTTCGTGAAGCCAGGATTGTGGCGGTAGGCGCTATGCCCCTGGTGGGAGAGGGCACCACCCCTTGGTAGTGTCGCAAGGGAGTGAAGTTCTGCCTTTGCCTTGCCTGTGCAAGTCCAGATCCAGGACCAAGCTAACCCTTAGTAACTGGGATATCTTATTGTGCCTGCTGGTGTTCCATCAAATCTGTGGGCTTCGAAGGGTCATCGAAGGTGATGGCCTCATGGTATTATCGCTGGACAGTTAATCCAGAGACCCAGACGATGTTCTGCGGACCTGGGTTCAAATCCTGGCAGATGGTGGAATTTTAATTCAATAAATATCTGGAATTAAGAATCTAATGATGACCATGAATCTATTGTCGATTGTTGGAAAAACCCATTGGGTTCACTAATGTCCTTTAGGGAAGGAAACTGCCATCCTTACCTGGTCTGGCCTACATGTGACTCCAGTCCCACAGCAGTGTTGTTGACCCTTCTGGGCAGTTAGGAATGAGCAATAAGTGCTGGCCTGGCCAGTGACGACCACATCCCATGAACGAATAAAGAAAATTTATGCACCCTGAGCAAGAGACTTTATGCCCTGAGATATGCTTTCTCATCCTCGGCTTTCTTTTCTGTTCTCAGATATCTGAAAGTCCTTCTGAAATTATGGAGTCTTTAACCAAAATGTACAGTATCCCAAAAGATAAGCAGGTGAGTGCTGCAGGCTTCATCCAATTAGAACTAATTCTTCTTCCTGATGCTGGTGTGGGTGTGACGCTACGAGAATAATTCTGTTGTGCCTGAAGCTGACCTTCCGTGCTTGGGGGGGTGGGGAGCAGGCTTTGTACAGGTCAGGAATATTAGCCCCCTCAGTTCTGAGACTTGGCCTCATATAGAGACCAAACTGGAGAGAGGTGGAAGCTGCTGGCTAATGGAACTTAATGTGAACAGTGTTTCTCAATGTCTCCAACAGGACCAGAAGTAGGCCATTAGGCCACTTGAGTTTGCTCTGCTGTTCAATAAGATCATGGCTGATCCGAAATTTCTCCACTCGACTCTGCTGCCTTATCCCCGTAACACTTGATTCCCTTAATAATTAGAACTATCTCTATAACAGCCTTGAATGTGCTTCACAGAATAGCATTGTCAGCCCTCTTTGTGGCGCAGTGCTGCCTCGCGACGCCAGGGACTTGGGTTTGCTTCCACCCTCGGGCAACTGTCCGTGTGCCGTTTTCATGTTCTCCTCGTGTCTGTGCGGGTTTCCTCCTGGTGCTCCAGTTTCCCCCCTCAGTCCAAAGATATGTGGGTGAGATTGATTGGCCGTGTAAAATTGCCCCATGGTGTCCAGAGATGTGCAGGATTATGGGGATACAAGGGGAGGGAGACTCTTTTGATAGGCTGAATGGAGTCTTTCTGCATTGTAGGGATTCTGTGAAGTGTTCTGCAGATTCACAGCCCTCTTAGGGAAAACATTGCTCCTCATCTGTCTTAAATGGGTGACTCCTTTCTCTGAGATGATGTCCTCTGGTCATAGGCTCTCCCACGAAGAGAGACAGCCTCTCCACATCGCCCGTGTCGAGTCCCTTGAGAATCTTGGCACGTTTCACCTCTCATTCCTCTAAATTCCAAGTGTAATATCTACTTGACCTCTCTTCAGTGAAAGAATATAGAATTTAAGAGGGGAATTAGACTCATTTGGCCCTTCAAGCCTGCTCCTCCATTCAGAAAGATTGCAGGCGATCTGGTTAAAATCATATCTTCACTTCCCTGTCTGCTCCTGATTGCCCTTGATTCCCTTGTCAGTGAAAACCTATCTAACTTGGCTTTGAATAATTTCAAAGACCTGACGTCCCTTGTCACCTGGGGAAGAGAATTTCACCTCACGTCTGCCTTGAAAAACTGACCTCCACACTGCAGACGTTCACGTTAGGAGCAGGCCATTCAGCCCGTAAACTCATTGTACCATTCAGTGTGGCCTTGGCTGATTGGACTGGCTTTGATTCCACCTTATACTGCCTACCCCAGTGCCCTTAAAATCCCCTTTTAGTCAAGAAACTGTTGATTGGTATAAAACCGTCATGCCATTTCGGAAAGGAAATCCGCTATCCTCACCTAGGTCTGACCTACATGTGACTCCAGACCCATAGCAATGTGGTTGACTCTCAACTGCTCTCTGGAATGGCCGTTGTCAGAATCTGGATTGGGCAACCTGCTGCCACCTCAATCACCCTTTCAAGGCAATAGCGGAATAATGTTTGAAGTTTACTGCTGTTTCCTGATGCCTGTTTGTTTTTGTGGTAGATGCTACTGTTTACACACATACGGCTAGCACACGGCTTCTCGAATCATAAAAAGAGACTGCAAGCAGTACAGGCTAGGCTACATGCCATCTCGATATTAGGTGAGTCGCGCCTGGGCGTTGTCCTCTTGCTCCTGGCTGGGGAAGCTGTTATATTTCCGTGCCAAGCTATGCAGTCCGTTCAATCTGACAAGCAATGTGAATGGTAATGGCTACAACAGAAATGGATCTTTTTAGGGCAGGAGGAATTCCCTGTAGGTGTCAGTCTGATGGGAGGGGCCGTAGTCGCAACTTGAGCTGTTCCTTATGCATCCCCCGCCCTCGCGGCCATCACTCGAGCTAACCAGGTTTGTGCAGATATCCTGGGGCAGGCTGAATGCCGACCATCCGCAGTTGGTGATGCTTGTGTGAACCAGGAGATGCACTGCGAGAGATGGGGCTGTTATCAACCTGTAGGGTGTGGAGATACAGTTCCCTCTGAGGGTTCAAGGCTCCGAGTACTCCTTATGCATGCTATTCCGAGCACACAGACCTCGGAGGTCTATGCATCAGGAAGGGTATTCGGAGGGAACGTTGGTGTGGAATGTGTTCTAGCTGTAACTGCAGGATTGCAGATGAGTTTTGTTTCCGAGGGTCTGTATTGTCAGCTGTCAGCGGTCATCGGGAGGTTTCAGTGTGCGCTTGCACAGGAAACCATCTCAGCCGCGTTGGTCTTGATGTTCCCCCGAGCCGATCTTACCCAGAAGTCAAGTTCTGCCACGTTTGTGTAGCAGCTCCTGAGCCAGCTTGAACGCCCCGTTAGGCGGACCACTGTGAGTGAAGCAGTGCGCGAGCTGTTGGTTCAGGGCTCGGGTAATGCCTGATGTCTGCCCTTGTCTCTGGAGGCTGTCTGGAAGTGGCAGTGTATGCTGGCTGGAGTGGCACATCACAGGCAGAGGCAGCACAGCGCAAATATTGCAAATACGACACAGTCCTGTATCTTATGGGGCAGTGTTCGCCCTGAGCGGGTGAGTGGTCGGGGCACAGAACTGCGCATGAAGTTCTCCTCCTGGAGCTTCGACTTGTTGAGGTGAAGCAACTTGTCTTGGGCAACAGCAGGGAGGGAGATGGCATCCTTTGTGTTTGAAGCCCATCTCCCACACTGATAAGCCGTGAACTAATGCTGTCAGCAGGGCTTCTGAATGCCGAGCACCAAGCTCCAGGGCCGAGCACTGGAAAGAGAATTGTGTGTAACTTGGAAGTAGTTGGAGAAACTTGCGACGTCCTTGCAGGGCAGGTCTTGGTTAATGGCTTATTTTTAAAACAATTCTCAAGATGCGCTCAGAGTTTGCTTGCAAATGGAAGGTCCCTGTTTGCGTTCAAATTGTCATGTGGAGGCCTGTAACTTGCCTGGGCTACTGTTCTGTAGGGTGGACTTGCTGGTGTGAATGAAAGAAAGGGCTTGGAGACGCAATCACTGTCATTGACACTGCAGTTGGCCTGACTCCCTCTTAGGGAGGAGGGCAAGTGTTTTAATGGTTGACATGTGAGAGGTTGGGAAAGGTATAATCGATCAGGGATTCTGCTTCTGGTAACTGTCCCACTCACTTCACTCTTGTTTCTCTCCACAGTTTACTCCAATGCGCTCCAAGAGTCTGCCAATAGTATATTATACAACGGTTTGATAGAGGAACTGGTGGATGTTCTGCAGATTCCAGACAAACAACTGATGGTGAGTGAGTTGGACGTGCGTCTCGGTAGGAAATATATTTTCATGATTCGCTCTGAAACAGCTCGAAAGGAACAAAGGAAGGTGGGCAAGGATGTGTAGATGGTCGAGGTGGAATGGGGTGGGCTGTTGTTTGATACCACCCTCCTGTCAATGAATGGGCAGCAATGCTGTTACAGTTGTCTCCAGCACCCCTGACCCACTGAGGCTCCAGAATCTGCTGGCCAGTGGACCTGAGTAAACTGTGCTCAGAATGGTCAGCACTTGCAGGGATTCACACCTGCTTGTACCTGTGCAGCTGAGTCTGTAGGTTTATTGAATCATAGAATCCCTACAGTGCAGAGAGACCATTTGGCCCATCAGGTCTGCACCGACCCTTCAAAGTGCATCCTACTCAGATCCAACTGCTCACCCTATCCCTGTAATGCTGTATTTACCATGGCTATCCCACCTGGCCTGAAGATCCCTGGACACTACAGGATAATTTAGCATGGCCAATCCACCCTAACCTGCACATCTTTGGACTGTAGGAGGAAACCCACGCAGACGCAGGGAGAATGTGCAAACTCCTCACAGACAGTTGCCCGAGGGTGGCATTGAACCTGGGTCCCTGGTGCTGTGAGGCAGCAGTGCTAACCACTGAGCCACCCCGGGGTAGCAAGGAGAATACAAATCTAGTGAGGTTATGCTTCAGGTATACAGTTTGGACCACAGCTAGAGTACCATGCCCATTGTTGATCTTGTTGTTTAAGGAAGGACGTGAACGTGTTGGAAACAGTTCAGCGAAGGTTTATCCAAACTAATCCCTGGAATGGGAAGGGTTGCCTTATGAGGAAATGTTGGACAGGCTGGGCTTGTATCAATTGGAGTTTAGAGGCCGCTTGATTAAGATCCTGAAGGAATTTGACAGGATGGATGTAGAGAGGATGTTTCCTCTTATGTGCTACTGTTTAAAAACCAAGAGTTACCCATTTCTTAAAGCGAGCGGAGTAGATTTTTTTTTAAAAATGAAAGTTGAGTCTTTGGAACCCTTTATAGAGTCACAGAGATGTACAGCACCGTAACAGACCCTTCGGGCAAATCTGCCCATGCTGATCAGGTATCCTAAACTAATCTAGTCCCATTGGCCAGCATTTGGCCCATATCCCTCTAAACCCTTCCGATCCATGTACCCATCCATATGCCCTTTAAATGTTGTAATTGTTCCTGCCACACTCCACCCTCTGTGGAAAAAGTTGCCCCTGAGGTCCCTTTTATATTTCTCCTCTCTCTCACCTTAAATCTATGCCGTCTAATTTTGGACTCCCTTACCCTGGGGAAAAGACCTTGGCAGTTCACCCTATCCATGCCCCTCATGATTTTATAAACCTCTGAGCTCACCCCTCAGCCTCTGACGCTCCAGGGAAAATAGACCTGGCCTATTCAGCCGCTTCCCATAGCTGAAACCCTCCAACCCCAGCAACATTCTTGTAAATATTTTCTCAACCCTTTCCAGTTCTACAACTCTTCCTCAAAAGCCACTGGAAGCAGAGTCTTAGAATATTTTTAGCGTGGAACTAGATTCTTGATAAGCAGGGTGGGGACGGTGTAAGGATATCGAGGGTAGCTGGGATAGTGGAGTAATTAGATCATCCATGATCTTATTAAATGGAGCTGGCTTGTGGGATCCAGTGGTCTTCTGCTCCAGATTTTTGTTGTGCTTGAGCAGGAAATGTTATTAACTACAACGAATTGTTGTGAAGAAGAGTGTAGACTGGCCTAGAGTTTTTTTTTTTAGTTGGAACATTATCCATTTGTACATTTCTGAATCTGTTTGGAGACCGATGGAGCAGAGGTTAGGACCTGCTATCTCTTGGTGCTATGCGGTGATTGGAGCTCGCTTACTGCAGCTAGTGACTTCTGAGTGGACTCTGCCAACCCCTGGTGCCTGGACGGGATTCGGAGTCACCACGTGAATTGACGGTCTGCCCTGAAATGATAAGTTGTGTCAGCCGTGTCAGAGACGAGAGCTTGTCTCTGCATTCACCCTGTGTCAGACCTCCAGTGGAGACAGCTTGAAAACTATGGTGCGAGGCTCCTTGCCCTGAGCTAGCAACTAGCCCCAGTAGAGGTAAAATCCCCTGCTGCCCCAGCACAGGAATCTGAAAGTAGCAGGGTTAGGAGGTAAGGAATCACCGGTCATGATTTGAATGAAAGTCGCTCCCTCCTCTCATTCATTCTCTCCCACTCTTGCACAGGATATTAAAGCCGCTTCTTTGCGGACATTGACATCGATAGTTCATTTGGAAAGGACGCCCAAGCTGAGCAGCATTATAGACTGCACAGGAACGGCATCGTACCATGGCTTCCTCCCGGTGCTGGTGCGGAACTGCATCCAGGCCATGATCGGTGAGTGCTTTGAAACTTCCCCTGTCTTTCTGCTTGTTGGTTTAGTGACTGAATAGTGTGAGAGTTTCTGAGAGAGCTAATTGGAGAGGAAAGGTAAAGCTGGGTTTTGTGTTTGGGATGGGTTTTTGGTCAGTGGCATTCTTGGAAATGTGTCCCTCAGCCCTGTTTGCTCCTTGCGGGTACCTCGTAGAACCCAGTGAAATACGGGGAAGCCCAACTGCAGCGAACCTGGGACCGGGTTGGTGGAAGAACTGAGACTTTGCCCCCTTGACTCTGTGTGGCGGTGGGGTGGTGTGTGAAACCAGGCAGGTTTCGGCTGTCTGTCCCTTATCTTACCCAACAGGCTGCCAAGTTACCTGGGACTCCGGGAGGAATTCCTGGCACCATTGAGCCTGGTGAAGAAAAGTGAAGCAGCACATCACCGGCAGAGTTGGGAGATGTCAGCATCAATTACTATTTAATGACTGAAATTGGAGAGAAATTTTTGCTGGTGTTCAACATTGGTCGTCATCTACTGTGGGACATCTGATTACAGATCTAAGACAATCAGTCTAGCAGTTTTTTAACTTGCAGTCAGAACTCATTTACTGCACCATGTTAACTGATTTATCACAGATGAGGCCCACGAATCAGGTCATCTTTTTGTGTCTATAATTTTTATGGCATCTGTGTATTGCTGACGATTTGTTGCCCCCAGTATGAAAGCTACCTGTCTCTCGACATAACATGAACTGAGTTATGGGACATCAGCTAATGTGCTCTCTATAGCACTTCAGGGTATAATGCAGTGTTTTTTTTTACTTGCAATGTCTTTTCTGGCAGTTGTCATCTTTGACCTTTAGTTTGGGATTAGGAGCTGCAAGTAACCTTCAATTGTAGATCAAATATTGGGGATTTTAGTGTTAAAATTTACATTTTTAAATCCCGATGTGCCTTGCCCCACCCTATCCCGGCGTCCATCTAAAGAACAAAGAACAATACAGCACAGGAACAGGCCCTTCGGTCCTCCAAGCCTGTGCTGACTCATTTTGTCCTTCCAAAATCTCTGCAATCCTTGGACACTGTTCTTCCAATTCTGACCTCTAGGATCAATGATTTCCACAGCTCTGCCACTGTCATCCAGGCCTTTAGCTGCTTGGGGCCCTAAGCTCTGGAATTCCTCCTGTATACACCTCCAACACCCAACCACCCTCTTGTAAGATGCTCCTGAAAGCTCACCCTTTTTCATTGTGCTCTTGATCCCATGCGTTAACATGTCCTTACACGGCTTGTCCTGCTCTGTTTGCTAGCATGTGAAGCATGCTAGGGCTTTTGCTAGTTGGATGGGGCTGTATATAAATGTAGATTGTCCATTGGCGGGGATTGTAAGTTGGATGCAGTGTCTCTGTGTAGTTACCGTTGATGTTGGAGCTGAAATCTTCCAGTTGTAGCCAAGGTTTATTGCTCCATTTGGGCAGGGATTTAAATGTGCTTTTCCTCATTTGAAATGATGGGATGGTTTCCCACCACTTAAATATCAGTCTGCCATTCACTCTTCCCCATTGAGCTGTTAGCTGCAAGGTTTGAACCAGAAAGACATTGAGTGCTAATTGTCTCTTTTCTTTCTAAAATTTCTCACCGCTGTCAGATCCATCGATGGAACCATATCCTCATCAGTTTGCAACAGCGCTGTTCTCCTTTCTGTATCACCTGGCCAGCTACGATGCTGGAGGCGAAGCCTTGGTCTCCTGTGGAATGATGGAAGCTTTACTCAAGGTAAAAACATCCACGTCATGGAGAAAGATTGAGGGCCTTCTCATCGCCCTCTGAGATTTCCGTGCTGTCCGAGAGAAGAAGAGAGGCACCTCCTTGACGAGGGGCTCAGCAAGGCATTGATGCCAGGCTGGACCGTCTGTCTAGAGCCAGTGGTCTGGCCTCGGCCCTCGCTTCGTTGTTAATTATTTTGAGTCATGCAGGCCAGGAACGAAGCATCCGACCATCACCCCCGCAGCCCCAAAAGGACTCTGGCCTGGTTAATATTTGGGTGGGGGTCTAGTAAGAATTAATGCCAGGTGCAGTTGGCTTTCGCTGACAGGAGAGACTGCTTACGCTGCCACTGTTCACATTTGGTTGGGACAAGCGGAGCATTATTGATCTAGGGGCTGTTGCTCAGGGGAAGGTGTGGGAGGCGATGGTATAATGGGATTGTTGCCGGACTGTTAATCCAGAGACCCAGATAATTTTCTGGGGAGCCGGGTTCGAATCTCGCCACAGCAGGTGGTGGTATTTGAATTCAATAAAAATCTGGAAAGGAGAGTTTAATTGTGACTGTGAATCTACTGTCGATTGAAGGAAAGACCAGTCACTAATGTCCTTTAAGGAAGGAAACTGCTGTCCTTACCTGGTCTGGCCTACATGTGACTCCAGACCCACAGCAATGTGGCTGACTCCTAGCTGCCCTCTGGGCAATAAATGCTGCCTAACCAGTGATGCCCATATCTCATGAATTAATGAATAAATGAAATCCCACCACAGCAGCTTGTGTAATTTAAAATGAATGCCAAATTAAGCCAAACTTTACTTCTGTTTCGTCAGTCCCTTTTGAGTTATGTTGCTCGCTTAAGGAGCTGTTTGACTTGATTTGTTTCACGGGGGTTTTCCAAGATGGTATATAATGAGACCGTTGTTTTAGTATGAAGGAGGCACATGCATGTAGTGTGGTATTCTGTAAATAAATAACCAAGAAAAGGATTTAATTCTGCATTTCACTGTGAGGCTTTCGATCCATTTGTCTATTGTGACCAGTTCTAGGCAACAGAGTTTAGGAAGGAAGTTACTGTTTGAGCCAGCATTTACTGCCCATTGCTACAAGTCACCCACGTGGCTATGGGTCTGGAGTTGCATGTAGGCCAGACTGGGTAACGCAACAGATTCATTCCCTGAAGGATATTGTCAGTTAACCAGATGGGCTTTTACAACTGGACGCCAGGTCAGCATTTTATTCCAGGTCTTTATTGCGTTCGAGTGTCACCATCTGCCATGTTGGGATTCAAACACATCCCCAGAGCGTTAACCTGGGTTTCTGGATTACTGTCCACTGACATTCTGTCTACACGCTGCCTCACTCGACTGACAAAAGAGCTAATTAAGATGAAAAGAATATTGCATAACAAGTTACAATCTGGGATGTGTTGAATGAAAGAACAGTGGAAGCAGATTTAGTTGTAATTTTCCAAAGGAAGTTGGATAATACTTGGGGAACTTTTCAGAAGGCATCCAATCAGATTTCACAAAGGTTATTTTGGAAACTTGCGTACTTTTTGGTGGAGATATTATATTGGCCTAGATAGAAGATTGGCTGGCGAACAATACACAGGCATAAATGGATTTTTTTTTTTGGTTAACGATGTAATGAGTCCCACAGAGATCAGTGGGACTGCAACTTGTTATAATTATTATATATGACTTGGATGCAGGGTCCAAAGGTGGTGGTGTTAAATTTGTTGATGAAAGGAAAAGTCAGATAGTAGGCTGTGAAGTGGACAGAGAGGTTACACAGAGACATGGGTACGTTACTTTTTGCCCATTGTCTCCATACTGGTCTTCAAGCACCTCTGTTTATTTCCATTTGGCAGCATGGTAACAGTAGCCTAGTATCGGTGTGCAGGTTTGGTCTCCCTACTTGAGAAAGGATGTGCTAGCACTGGATGGGGTGCAGAGGATGTTCATTCCGGAGTTGGGAGGGTTGGCTTAATAGGAGAGATTGAGTAAACTGGGACTATACTCAATGGAATTTAGAAGAATGGTTGGCCGGGTGGTTGGATCTTATAGAAATGTATAAAATTGTGAAAGGAATAGGTACGGTAGAAGCAGCAAGGTTGTTTCCACTGGCAGGTGAAACTAGAACAAGGGGACACAGCCTCAAAGTAAGGAGGAGCAGATTTCGGACTGAGTTGAGGAGGACCTCCTTCACCCAAAGGGTTGTGAATCTGTGGAATTCCCTGCCCAGTGAAGCTACTTCATTGAATGTTTTTAAGGCAAAGATAGAGTTTTGAACTGTAGAGGAATTAAGGGTTATGGCGAGCTGTCGAATAAATGGAGCTGAGTCCACAAAAAGATCAGCCATGATCTTATTGAATGGTGGGGCAGGCTCGAGGGGCCAGATTGCCGCCTCCTGCTCCTATTTCTTACGTTCTTATGCTGAAAGGGCTAGGAGCAGGAGTAGATAAATCATCCCCTTGACCCTGCTCCACCTCTTCATCTTGGCCTGAACTCCACTTTAAATTTATTCATTATCCTGGCATCCGCCATACTCTGATCCAACAGATTCACGTCCCTTTGAGAGAAGTAATTCCTCCTCTGTTTTAAATCTGCTACCTCTTATTCTAAGTGACCTCTCACTCTAGGTGGCGTATCAAATATTCATCTAAATACTACTGTTGTGATGGCTCCTTCCTCTCCTACCCTTTAGGGCAGTGAGTTCCAAATAAGTTCTTCAAACCTCCTGCCCTTTACCTTAAATCTGTGCCTCCTTGTTAATGACCCCACTATTAAGGGGAAAAGCTTGTTTCTATCCACCCTGTCAAATGCCACTCATCGTTTCGAACACCTCAATGAGGCCCACGTCAGCCTTCCCTGCTCTGAGGAAACTGCCTCAACCTGTCTAGTCTCTTTGTAGCCAGATTGCGCCAGCCCAGGTAAAATCCTGGTAAATCTCCTTTGCACCCCCTCTCGTGCAATTGCATCCTTCCTATAGTGTGGTGAGCAGAACTGCAAAAAGTACTTAACAAACAACTCGTATTGCTCTATCGTCATCTCTGTTCTTGTCAGCATTTTAACCTGCAAACTGCCCAGGTAAATGGCTCCCAGTGACTCAAGTTGCAAGTCGTGCTCACTAGTGGTAGTATAGTTTCTCTATCCCTCAAACCCATCATGAAGGAATTGTACCAACAGTGTCGTGTGAGGGTACATGCGTGCATTCTTGCCGAATAACAGTAGACTTGGGAATTAATTTATTTGTCCTCCCCTTCACCTTCATCTTTTTACTTAGGTGATCAAGTACCTCGGCGATGAGCAGGATCAGATCACTTTCGTGACCAGAGCTGTCCGAGTGGTTGACCTCATCACCAACCTGGACATGGCAGCCTTCCAGTCACACAGTGGATTGGCTGTATTCATCAACCGGTTAGAGGTACGTGGCTTTCTAGCCTGCTGGGTGACTCTGCTATGACACAAGTTGTTTTGAAAATCGGGTTACCTTTCAAGAAGGTGAATCTTAATGGCTGTGATGTGTTATGATCAGAAACAAAAAAACGTGAGAAAAGCAGTTTCGAGTCTAACATTTTAACAGGAATTAGGAAAATCTCTTTTGTCCGTCAAGGACATTGAGGAATGTGAACAAGCTGAGATCGTGGCCAATCGGGATCTGAACTCTGTGAATGGGTGTATAGGCTCAAGCTGCTGAATAGCCTCCTGTTCCTGGCTGACAGATTTGAGGAGGGGGCTGAATGGCCGCCTCCTGTTACTTTGGGACATGCTGGAAGAATGAACTCAATGGGCTGGGCCCCTCTTCCTGTTCTTGCATGGAAAATGTGAGGGGGGAAAAAACAAGGAAATGAATTCAACAGACACCTTTTCCAAAGACATGGAACAGTTAAAAGGGCCGAAAGTCCTCATTCTGTGCTGTAAAATTCTACTTATGCCAAATTATTCAAAGCCAAAATACACCGTGTTAGTTACAGATTGAAGCGCTCTCTACTTTTTTTAAAACTAAATGTAAGGCTGTCTCTAAACTGTGTACGTCAAAGATTCCCAAGACAGGGACAGCATGGAGTTAGACAGAATAAATTTCCCCCTACACTGTCCCCATCAAACACTCCCAGGACAGGACAGCACGAGGTTAGACGCAGAATAAAGCTCCCATTATTGTGTGCCAGTCATATGCTTTAGCTCTAACTTTGGAAGTTGCACCTTAGCTGCCTGATTAACTGTTATTCTCCTCTTCTTTGAAGCATGAAGTTGATATTTGCAGGAAGGAGTGTCCTTTTGTCATTAAGCCAAAGATTCAGCGATCGAGCACAACTCAGGAGGGTGAGGAGATGGAGACTGATTCTGAAGGTAATATATTGGTGCATTGGACATTTGTATTTTCCAACTAATGTGTATACCCAGCAGTACTCTAGTAACCTGGCTTGACTGGGATACCCACATTGTCTGTAACGTTTTTGGGCCTTTTTAACATTGCAAAAAGGTTCAAGAGGGTTTCTGCCTCCATTCCCCTTTCAGGCATCGTGTTCCACACTCCTGCTGCCCTTTGGGTTTTAAGAGGACAGTCTGTTCTCATAAGAACATAAGAACTAGGAGCAGGAGTAGGCCGTCTGGCCCTTTGAGCCTGCTCCACCATTCAATAAGATCATGGCTGATCCTTTCGTGGACTCAGATCCACTTACCGCGTTCTCACCGTATCCCTTAATTCCTTTATTGTTCAAAAAAAATCTACCTTTTTTTAAAAAAACATTTACTGAAGTAGCGTCAACTACTTCACTGGGCAAGGAATTCCATAGATTAACAACCCTCTGGGTGAAGAAATTCCTTCTCAGTTCAGTCCCAAATCTGCTCCCTCTAATCTTGAGGCTCTGCCCTCTTGTTCTAGCTTCACCTGCCAGTGGAAACATCCTCTCTACTTCTATCTTATCTATTCCCTTCATAATTTTATATGTTTCTATAAGATCCCCCCTCAATCTTCTGAATTCCAATGAATATAATCCCAATCTACTCAGTCTCTCCTCATAAACCAACCCCCTCAACTCCAGAATCAACCTAGTGAACCTCCTTTGCACCCCCTCCAGTGCCAATACATCCTTTCTCAAGTAAGGAGACCAAAACTGCACACAGTACTCCAGGTGTGGCCTCACCAGCACCTTGTACAGCTGCAACATAACCTCTGCTTTTTATTTCAATCCCTTTAGCAATGAAGGACAAAATTCCATTTGCCTTCCTAATTACTTATTGTACCTGCAGACCTACCTTCTGTGATTCATGCACAAGGACACCCAGGTCCCTCTGCATAGCAGCATGCTGCAACTTTTTACCATTCAAGTAATAATCCTTTTTACTATTACTCCTACCAAAATGTATGACTTCACATTTATTTACATTGTATTCCATCTGCCAGACCTTTGCCCACTCACTCAATGTATCTATGTTCCTCTGCAAAGTTTCACAGTCCTCTGCACACTTTGCCCTGCCACTCATCTTAGTGTCATCTGCAAACTTTGACACCCTACGCGTGGTCCCCAGCTCCAAATCATCTATATAAATTGTAAATAATTGCGGTCCCAACACCGATCCCTGAGGTACACCACTAGTCACTGACTGCCAGCTAGAATAGCACTCAGTTATCCCCACTCTTTGCTTTCTGTTAGTCAACCAATCCTCTATCCATGCTAATACTTTACCTTTAATGCCATGCATCCTTATCTTATGCAGTAGCCTCTTGTGCTGCACCTTGTCAAAAGCCTTTTGGAAGTCTAGGTACATCACATCCACTGGGTCCCCATTGTCCACCTCGCTCGTAATGTCTTCATAGAATTCCAAAAGATTTGTCAAGCATGACCTGCCCTTCATGTACCCATGCTGCGTCTGCCCAACGGGACAATTTCTATCAAGATGCCTTGCTATTTCTTCCTTGATAATAGACTCAAGTATCTTCCCCACTACAGAGGTTAAGCTAACCGGTCTATAATTCCCCATCTTTTGTCTACTTCCCTTTTTAAACAGTGGCGTCACATTTGCTGTTTTCCAATCTGCTGGGACTGCCCCAGAGTCCAGCAAATTTTGGAAAATTACCGCCAGCGCACCTGCTATTTCTCCCGCCATCTCTTTTAGTACCCTGGGATGCATTCCATCAGGGCCAGGAGACTTATCAATCCTCTTCCCTTGAACATTTCCACCAATTCATTTTAAATCTGTGTTCCCTAGCCATTGACCTCTCTGCTAAGGTAAATGAGTCCTTCCTATTTGCACTGTCCTCAAATTCAGTGTCATCTCCCATCCTGTGTGGCAGAGCTGCTTATGGTTCATGTTAGGGTTCACGCTCTACAGAAACACTTCCTTATCCTGAGACTGTAGTGGAAACAGTCGCTCAGTCTCCATCCTGTGTCCGTGGGATCACATCCCACTTTTCTATAATCCAGAGAATCATTGACTCAACTTCTCAACCCCCTCATTCCAGCTTATCAAACGGTCACTGTGAGGGTCGATATTTTCTAAGCAATCCGTTTATCTCCCACCTCTGGAGCAGGTGGAACTTGAACCCGAGCCTCCCCACCCAGAGGTCGGAAGTGTGCTACAAGTCCTCTCCGAAAGCGAGCATTTCCTTTCTTGAATGTGTAGACTCAAAGCATGCACAGTTCTTCAGGCGTGCTCTCAGCAAAGCCCTGCCTAACTAATGCAGCTTCTGTAGCCCTGTACTCAGTTGTCTCGCTATAAAGGCCATCGTGCCATTTGATTTCCTAAAACCATGCTGTTTTTGAAGTCTGCACTGATGCTGTTCTCTCTGGGGTTGCATTCCAGCATGCAGCCTCGAAGCTTTCTGTGGTTTCTCTGAGTCTCGCTCCTGTGCAGCCCTCGTCTAATTCTTCCAGGTTGCGTGCTCTGCTGTTGGGAAAAGGGGTGGTGGGGGAAGCCCAATAAACGGTAATAGGCTTAGTTAACAAAATACTTAAATGACCCTGAGCACAGTGTATCCTTTGCAGAGTGTTTACTTCTGCCTTCCGCAGTTTCAGATATCGTGATGGAGAGCAGTCCTGGCCCTTCAACTTCGACTGAGGCCAGGCCAGAGGCAGAGCCACGAGGGCCGAGCACTGCCCCAAGTTACCCACCTAGAGCTGGTAAGGGTGTTAGCTGCTCCGACTGTCTGTCTGTGTGGCAGGAGTGGGCAGAAGGAGTTGTCCCTTTCACCTCGGTTAATGTCTTGAGATAAGACAGGTTAGATGTGGAGTGGGGTTGTTGGTATCCTTCCTCTTCCATGCATGCTAAGAGGGTGTTAAGGACCAGACAGTACCACCTCAACATAGTTTAAGATGGTAGCCTAGACCTTAACCTTCTCTTATTTCAAAGGTAAGTGCAGCTTTGTGTTCCAGATGCAATGTGACTGGTTCAACTACTTGATGTTTAGCAAAACAATTTATTTAAACACTATAGTTAAAATGCACAAAAGAGAACAGGAATTTAGAATAACTTAACACTATTGGAAAACTTAACTGAATAATAGGTACCGTAGCTATTACTAATTAAAGGGGCAGCACGGTGGCTCAGTGGTTAGCAATGCTGCCTCACAGCACCAGGGAGGTTGTCTGTGTGGAGTTTGCACGTTCTCCCCGTGTCTACGTGGGTTTCCCCTGGGTGCTCCGGTTTCCCCCCACAGTCCAAAGATGTGCAGGTTAAGGTGGATTGGCCATGCTATATTGCCCATAGTGTTCAGGGATGAGTGTATTAGGAGGGTTATAGGGGATGGGTCTGGGTGGGATGCTCTGAAGGTCGGTGTGGTCTTGTTGGACTTGTACTGTGGGAGTTTGTCTGCAATTTGGCCACTATTCCCTCCAATAAGATGGCAACTTTGATCTGAAAGTATGGTGCCTTGGCCTGCCAAATACATCAAGACGTACTAAGATGGTGAATGGCTTTTGATGTAATTCAGCGTTTCCTCACTGTAGTGATTCTGTGAACTATTCCAATATAGTAACATCCCATAAACACACTCCTTGGCAAAAAGGCAATTTCAGACACAGATTCTTACATGCAGTTCTCCAATTCAGGAGGAAATACATCAAGACAAAATTGAGAAAGAGTGGCAGGTAGGAGATTTTCACTGAAGCTTCCAATTCTGTTGAAACCCCAACAGCTTTTGATGCTACTGAAAAACCAAAAACCAGAAATTCTGATCTGAGAGAGCTGGCCACACCCATTCAGGCTGTTTTTTGAAAAAAAATTCCAAGGCCCTCCCAAGCTGTTTACATTACCCCAGAGTGCTCAGGTCCTTTCTTCAAAACAAAAGGACAAAAGAACCTTTACAAGCCACAGCATCGTCACAAGGGGGAGTTTGTCGAAATCTGTCCTTGAGCCAGCATCTCCTCGGAATGATGTTGCTGTACTGTGGGAGTTTGTCTGCAATTTGGCCACTATTCCCTCTGATAAAACGGCAACTTTGATCTGAAAGTCTGATGCCTTGGCCTGCCAAATACATCAAGACGTACTAGGATGGTGAATGGCTTTTGATGTAATTCAGTGTTTTTGTTCTCCGTGCAGGGGTTCAGTGCATCCCGCAGCGAGCAGCCTTGCTGAAGTCCATGCTCAACTTTCTGAAGAAGGCCATTCAAGATCCAGCTTTCTCGGACAGCATTCGGCATGGTAATATTTTCTCTTTAAGGCCCTTTATCTTTCAGGGAAGAAGTAGCTGAATGAGTTCCCATCGTCTGTCATGTAAATGCAGGGAGATTACAACTCTGCAGGGCAGAGGGATCTGAGTGTCTTGGCATACGAGTCATGAAAAGTTAGTATGCAGCTTCAACAAGTGATCAGGAAAGCAAATGGAATTTTGTTCTAAACTAGGAGTTGAGCATCAGTGTAGGGATGTTTTGTACAGGGCATTGGCAAGACCACACCTAAGGAACTGTATGCAGTTGAGGTCTTCCTATTTGACAAACTACTTCATCGCATTTAAAGCAGTTTAGATAATGTTGACACTTTTTTTTGCTTCAGTAATTCATGGAGTGTGGGTATTGTTGGCAAAACCAGCATTTGTTGTTCCATGGTTGGGAAGTCCTGCAATTGTGTCCTGATGTTGTTCTCTTGTTTGGAATTCTTGTAATTGTGTCATGATGAAAAGCTCTGACTTGTTCTCAGCAATATTGTTTTAACTCACTTTTTAGTGGTTTGGGAACCTCATGTGTACAAACCCTTGTAAGCAGAGTCTCTTTCTAGTCCATTTCAGAGGGCAGTTAAGAGTCAGCCATATTGCCATGGGTCTGGAGTCGCATGTAATACAGACAAGAATAAGGATGGCAGAGAGAAAGAGACTTAGTGTCAGCTCATTGTCGAGTGCATCAGAATAAAATCATAAAGAATACTCAGTCTCTCGGGGGAACCACAACTTGTACTGAACAAGAGGAGGTTACTTAAAATAATCTCCCTGCAGTTGTTAGTTTTCTGATCTTGGAATCAGAAGGTCATGGGTTTGAGTCGTACTGTCCGGTGAGGTATGAAAGAGAGGACTCGTCTGCACTGCTGGGTGGATGTACAGTATCTTGTGATAGTATTTACCAACTCACCTCCCTTGGCAGAAAACAACAGGCTGACTGGCTGCTTGTTGCATGTCATTTATGGGACTGCTCTGTGCAAATTGCCTGGCATGGCTGCGTTCCAAGCACTTTGGGATAGACCTGAAACCTGCTCCTCTGATGCTGCTTGGCCTGCTGTGTTCATCCAGCTCTACACCTTGTTATCTGAGGTTTTATATGACCTCAGTTTTGTACTTTGTGGATGTGATTGAGTTTGCTGTTGGAAGCTTCAGTTTATTTTCGGTGAATTGGGCACTGCAAGTTTGTCCAGTGTTTTGACATCTTTCAGTCAGCAGGGATAAGGCCAATCAAGCTCCTCTAGTCTGACCTATCATCCACTTTAGATTGTGACAAAACGATCTTATTTTTTGAGATTTAAAAAATATCTGAATCAGTCTATTCTGGTACTCCTGGGTCAAAGGTAGGGGCATTACCACTGTGTGACAGGAATTCTGAAACTGTATCTTGAAACTCCATCTACCTTCAGGTAGACAATTGTGAAACACTGTCACTAATAACACCACAAGTGTCTCCCCAACCCTTCCAGGACTGCAGCGGTTCCAGGTGGCTCACCATCTCCTCGAGGGTAATTAGGTGATGGGCAATCAATACTGGCTAAGTGTTAGCACCCACAACTTATGAATGAATAAAAGTTCCCATGACATTGTTAGCTCTGTTGGTTCACTCCAACCCTAAGCAGAAGCACTTGTGTAATTCCTCTGTGCTGTTTACCTTTCAGTAATGGATGGGTCCCTGCCTACCTCACTAAAGCACATCATCAGCAATGCAGAGTATTACGGGCCATCACTGTTCCTGCTCGGTAAGCAACATCGAAGTGTCTTGATCCGTCATCGATTTCTTTTGTTTTGCTGTCTCCCACAGCAATAAAACTTGCAGCCTTCTCTCTCTCTCCCACCATTTTATCATTTCCCTTTACCCCTCTATCTCTCCCATCACTGTGTCAGCGAGTGATGCAGCAGTCTGCCGTATGAAACCTGCATGGAATAAAGCTGGTGGGAGTATGGTGTTATTCTCTGTGCAGCGTACTCAGCTGTGTAAACAAGCATGTTCAACTCAGTGTTGTCTTATTGAATGAAAACTGAAAGAACGGTGGATGCTGGAAAAGCTCAGCAGGTCTGGCAGCGTCTGTGGAGAGAAATCAGAGTTCCCATTGTTAACCACTAACCGTCCCCATTAATTCACCCTCCTAGCCAGATCGTTACCTACTCCTTTGTCTGTCCAACTGTTCTTTTCTCTCATTTGGGCTCTATCTCCACTTATCATTTACTCCTTACCCCCTATCTTCTGCATATGAACCAACAATTTCTTAGCTATTATCAGTTCTGAGGAAGGGTCACTTCACTCTTCTCTCCACAGATGCTGCCAGACCTGCTGAGTTTTTAGTGATTTTCTTTTTTGTTTTTTTTTTAAATGTTGGGTTTAATCACCAGATTGTTAGCAACTGCCTTGCTAATTTGCCTCTGTAAATGAAGGCAGCTTTTCTTGTAGATGGCACCCATGTCAGTGGATCCTTAAAATAATAAAAAAAATGCGTAAATGGGAATGTCATTCAAGTCCGAAGGCAGTGAACATAAAAAATCTAGGCTGTCACTCCCCTGAGCCAACCAGCGCTGATAGAAATGCTTCACTATCAGAGGTGACTTAAGACCATCAACGCTGTTGCTTCCTCCATGGTGTGGCCCGACAGGATGGTGGCACTGTGTTGTGCTGTTCTGGGACACGTAAGCAACGGTTTGCCATTTGCTGACAGCCCAACTACACGGACAACAGCACTGCCACTTTCCTATGTCTGCAGCTGTTTGTGGCACTTGTTATTGTTGGCTGCTGCAAGGTGTGCAAGGGAGTTGAGCAGTGCGTGCCTGTTTGTTTGTGCACGCATGCGTGTGGTGGACAGACAGGAAAGTGGAGATCAGCCATGGTCTTGCTGAATGGCCTATTGCTGCTCCCAAGTCCTCTGTTCTCAACTGCACTCGGTTGAGTGCAAAACATCTCTCTCAACTTTCTCAAAGAGGATGAGGGGAGCTTTCCTAACGTGAAATGCAAGTCAAACCTTTTTTTCCTGTTTATCTCTGTCTATATCGTCATACTCTTTCGCCACTCTCTCTCCTACTTTTGAATGCCTTGATGAATAGATGCTGCAGCATTTAAAATATTGTAATGGATTTCTGATTTAAGTGGGAGGGAGGAATGGAGTCAATTTGTGATGGCAACTACAAGACATTGAGCTGGATCACTGCATTGGATGTCTTGTTTGCGTACTCCCAGCTTGTATTGATCGAGGCCACGTTTTGCATCTGGCCTTTGTCATTTATTGATCCAGTCCCCTATTTTTCTTGTCTACCGCTAACCCAGTCTGAGAGGCTGTTTTGTTGTCGTGGGTAACTGTCAGAGGGCTGCCTTGGCCAGCCTGCCAGTGAGGGTACGTGGGGGTGTATGGAGTTGTCTGCGGCAGCACTGATGAGTCTCTGTTTTTGTCTTTGTAATTTTTCTTTCCAGCGACAGAGGTAGTGACTGTATTTGTGTTCCAAGAGCCGTCGTTGCTGTCCTCTCTCCAGGATAACGGACTGACAGACGTCATGCTTCATGCCTTGTTGATAAAAGATGTGAGTACACCCTCAAATCTTGCCATCACTTCTCTTTCACTGCACAAAATAGCTCCGCTGGGCTTCTCGTAGTCCGGGCTTCTTGTAGTCCAGGCTTCTACTTCTCTCCTGAGGCCCCTTCTGATTCCTCCATGGCACCCCTACGTAAACTCCTTGGCCACCTCCATCTGTTTGTGATTACAGCCAGCTTGCTGCTGCTCCAACGCCAGTCATAGTTTCATGATAATCAGCCCTGCTCCTGCAGCTCAAACCCCTGCCTTGAGTAAGAAGGTCACACACTTGTGCCCTTGTCTAGAAGCGCAGTCTTCCATGTGAGATATAAAGCCAATGTCTCCAGTCCTGGGGACCCAAAAAAAAACAAATCCCCAGGCCATTGTACTGAAGAGGATCAGGGGTGTGTATCTGTCTGTCTCTCTTGTCAATCTGTCTTTCTGTTCTAAGCCCCCCTCTCTGGCAATCAATCTGCAGTCAATGTTTTCACCTCAACCCACCTTACTTGAAAGAGAACTGATCTGGTTGTTATCTGATTCTTTGGAGCTGGTTGTGCATTTCCTCCATGTCTGCACTTCAGAAAGTTAATTTGTCGGCTGTGTGCTACTCTGGGATATGCTTTGGGGACCGAATGAATCAAACAAATGAGTTGTCATGTTTTGTGCTTCACCATCTGATGTGGCCCTGTTTATCTATCTTTTCTTTGACGTGATGGATGCTGAGAGGGTTTTTCCCCTTGCAGTTTAAATACTAGTTGTCTCCCATTTAAGATACTGTTGAGGAGTAATTTGCCTAACCCCCACCCCCAATACCGCCACCATCAAAAAAGCCAGGTGATGTGACCTTTCTCCGTGGAGATTGGGTCATCGAATATGTTTGAGGCCAAGTTAGAGATTTTTGATTGGTTGAGAGTTATGGTGGTGGGGGGGGGCGGGTGCACTGTCAGGAAAGTGATTGACAGAACATGCTCCAGGGGCTGAATGGCCTCCCATTGCTGTTGTGCTGGAATTATGCTGACTGAGGGAACCTTGCCATCGCCTTCAGTTTGGATGAGGTTTCTGTCCTGTTTTCCAGCTTGTCGTGCTGGAGTTGGAGGGAGCAAGTGAAGGGGTTCTCTCTGTTCCACCAGTTCCACTGTTAATGCTGGAGTTCCACCTAGACCGAGAGCTCCAGGCATAGCCTTTTAAATCCACCACGTCTGGGAAATGTGCCGTAGCCTGTAGAAGCAGATTTCGGTTTGAGTTTGCTGATCTCCTCTTAGAAAAGGATGGCCTCCCAGAAAATGTTAACCTTTGTTTGCCCCTCACTTGCAACAAATTTCTTTCATGGGATAATATCAAACCCACTCCCCAGCATCTGGGAGGCTAGTACGGCCAGAGTATTTAATTATTGTTAAGGGCGAAGGGAGGAATACACTGGGTTCCGAGTCCGCGCATGGTTTCTAACTTTACGTGAGCTGGGAGCGTTTGTATGGTAAGATGGAGCTTGAGGATCATTTTACACAGAAAAAGAAAAGTTCTTCCAAAATGGAGTTATGTTAGGGGCTGAGAAAAGTCTCTCACAGCATCGCCACCCCTTTCACCTCCGTTTCCTACCTTCTGCTTCTTTCCTCAGGTACCCGCGACCCGTGAAGTTCTGGGTTCCTTGCCGAATGTGTTCAGCGCGCTGTGCCTGAATGCCCGTGGGCTGCAGTCCTTCGTGCAGTGCCAGCCCTTTGACCGTCTCTTCAAGGTGCTGCTGTCTCCTGACTACCTGCCTGCGATGAGGAGGCGTCGCAGTTCGGACCCATTAGGTCAGTGGGCAGCCAGTTCCTATGGGAGTCACCCAAGGGTATTCTGTGTGGGGAAAGCGAGATGTCCGGATCTAAGCTGCAATTCAGGGCCCTGTGTGTACATCCCGCAAAGCCAGGGGAAATTTGGTTCTACTTGTTCCGTTAGTTACGTCGAGTCCTGTCAACCTTCATTGCAGATACAGTAAATCCTGAACTGAGGTGCCGAGATCTATTTGGTACTTAAGGTGTGTTATTTGGTGGAAATATTTTTATGCTAGAGCTTCAGAGACTCGAAGGAACACAATGCAACCACAAACCTGGGACGTCCCGGGACCGGTGCTGAATTTTGCTCTACTTCCCTGGCAGGCAGATATCGGGGCACAGGAGTGGTCGCGGAGGGTTTTACAAACTTTTCATTGCGCTACCATGTTCTTGGCTGTAGACTGGCTCTCCTCTGTTTGGGGTTTGTGGGTAGCAGAAACTACTGCTGGTTGGAAAGTCCAGGACAGCACTTGCAACCCTACCAGGGGTCTCGATCCCCACTTTGGAAAGCCCTGGCCTAGGGCTAGTTGAGGGGCCGAGTTTAAAAACGAGATCCCGACCTTGCAGGAATAAGAATGTTAGGACGCATTTCTACGTCTGAAGGCTACTTGTTTGTAACTCTTTTACAAACTGCATTTGATGCTGGGGCAGTTGCTCATCTTTGGTCGGAGAGATTCATTCTTTCATGGAGTGTGGCCAGCATTTGTTAAACTAAATGGCTGCTAGATCAGTTCAGAGGCTGTTATGAGTCAGCCACGTGACCGAGTGTCTGGAATCAATATGAGGCCTGACTGGGTAAGGGCAATATGGAACCCTAGGGGACAGTTGGTGGTGGCTGTTACGGTTCCCATTTCTGAGACTAGTTATCAATTACAGGTTTTAATAACTCTACTTCAATTCTGCCAGCCCCCTTGGTAAGAGTTGAACCCATCTCCCCAGATTATTGGCCTTGGTCTCTGGTTACTGGCCTAGCAATGTTACTGCCATGCCATCATCTCCTGCATGCAGTTAACCAAAGGTAATGAGGGATGTGGGTCAGAGGCGGGATTAGATTGCCAACCAGCTATGACTTCCTTAAACAGCAGAGCAGATTCAGTGGGTTTCTCAATGGCCTGTTCCTTTGTTCTTGACCCTCCAAGGCTGGTAAATAGTAAAACCCTTTGGGAGTTGGCATTGCTAACTTTAGCAACCGATTGTCTGACACTGTCCCTCTATACAGGTGACACGGCATCCAACCTTGGCAGCGCTGTGGATGAACTGATGAGACACCAGCCAACTCTGAAGACTGATGCCACTGCTGCAATCATTAAGGTATGTGACCCTGAGCCAGAGCAAGCAGGGGGAGCGACAGGTTTTATATAGAGAAATGGCTGGAATGCTGTGGTTAACATCCAAACCGGGAGGAAATGCAAATTGGGTGTTTTCCTTTTGAGAATAAAATCTCCCTCTGGGTGTCAGCAAGGCTAGTATTTATTCCCTCAACTCAGGGAGGTGGCCATGATGGTTTTGATCTTAACCGTGTGTCTGGGCTGCTGCACAGGGCGACATTACTGAGAGACTGGTGTTGTGTGTACAAGCCAGGCTGGACTGACGACAGCAGGGTTTCCTTCCCTGAAATGATGTGGCTTGAAAGCCATATGGACAAGTTGGACGGAAGAGTCTGATTCCAAACTGTATGACCCTGTGACTTGCTTCTTTTAAAGATAAAGGTATCAAGGGGTATGAGGAGAAACTAGGGCTATGGCATTGGGAAAGAGGACTGGTCATGATCATTGTGAATGGCAGAACAAGATCAAAGGGCTGAATGGCCTACTCCTAGTTTAGATGTTTCCGTATAAATTGAGGTTCGAGATTTCAAGCTGCCGTGTTGTGGTTTGAGCTCTTGTTTTCTGCGTTATTGCTCAAATTGGATTGGTTATTAATCTGGGGGCAAAAACAAAGTTTCTGGAAAAGCTCAGCAGGTCTGGCAGCATCTGTGAAGGATGTAGTGTTTGGAGGAAGGGTCCACCGGACCTGAAATGTTAACTCTGTTTTTTCCTTGACAGATGCTGTCAGACCTGCTGAGCTTTTCCAGCAACTTTGTTTTTGCCCCCAGATTTACAGCATCCGCAGTTCTTTTGGTTTTTATTAATCTGGGGATGTGCCGTCTTCTGACTGCTAGCTATTGCTCCCATTCCTACACTTGTGTACATATCTAGTGAGGGCGGTAATCACTGAGTGTGATTGTCCCTTGTTCTTGAACAGTCTGGTTGGGATTTTGTGTTAGATTTGGGTGAGCAGAGCTACTGATACTGCGATCTGTGCCGAGGGCGGCGAAGATGGGGGGTGTATTATTGGACCTAACATGCTTTGTTCCGCCTTTTCAGTTGCTTGAGGAAATCTGCAACCTGGGAAGAGACCCCAAGTACATCTGCCAGAAACCTTCTATCCAGAAGGCGGACGGGAGTGCCACCGCTCCTCCACCTCGCTCCAATCACGCTGCCGAGGAAGCATCCAGTGAAGATGAAGAAGAGGAGGAAGTTCAGGCCATGCAGAGCTTCAGCAGCAGCATGGCTGCTCAACAGAGTGACCCTGAACCCAACCAGCAGTAAGTCATTACTCAGCCGCTTTAAAGGGTAGATGTATTTAATAGACGCCTGTGCATTCACGCTGTCAGGTGGCAGTTGTGGAGAATCACCTTTTGAGTTATTGTGCAGCAATTTTTACTCCACACCCAAGCTGCGTTTGAAAAGTTGGTCATGTGTTGCTGTTACGTTTTCATTTGCTTGCGGGTCAGGGTCCGCCGTGTAGTCACCAAACAGGATGTTATCAAGTCAGCAGATTAAAGAAATGAGGTTTGGTGTTCATGCAGTGTACAGGCACATGGGGTGAATGAGGTTAGGAGTGGGTGATTCTGTCGTGACTCTCAATTTCAGTACAACGAAGGAGGAAACAGAAAATTCCTGGAAAAACTCAGCAGGCCTGGCAGCATCAATGGAGAGAAATCAGAGTTAATGTTTCAGGTCATGTCAGACCTCCTCCTGAAAAGTTAACACTGATTTCTCTACACAGACCCTGTCAGACCTGAGTTTTCCCAGCAATTTTCTGTTTTGGCTGATATCCAACATCCGCAGTTGGTTTGGTTTTTTTAATATGAAGGAGGAAAGTCAGTGCCTCTCCATTTCAGACACTGAATCCTCCCTGTACTTTTTTAAACTGAAGGTAAAGCTCCCTGTGTACTGTCCCTATCAAACAATCCTAAGATAGGTACAGTACGGAGTTAGATAAAGAGTAAAGCCCCCTCTACACTATCCCCATCAATACTCCCAGGAAGTGGACAACATGGGTTAGATGCTGAGTGAAGCTCACTCTACACTCCTCCACCACTCCCGCCTGGGAAAAAACCCAAATACTCCCAGGACAAGGGCAGCACAGGTTAGATACAGAGTAAAGCTCCCTCTATACTTTTAAAGTGAAAGCGAAGTTCCATCGATACAGTTTTCTTTTGAAACTATTTTATGCGTCTCTAGCTCCCTGCCTAAATCTCTCTCACCAGTTCCCCGTGATAATTGAAATTGTACAGGTTGAATATAAACATAAGAACTGAAGGTCGCATGCAACTGCAGTCAGTCTCGCTGCCATGAGCCATCGAAGGTGGGCGAGGTAAATCCGTTTTGCTTCCTGTGCAGTTGAAGATGCTCAGTGCTTTTGGACCACTATGCTTTCAAGTGCCAGTCACCTTGTGCCTGCTGATTGTGGGTCACTTGGATTTTAAGGAAAGGAGCCCCGTCCCCCAGGCCTTTCCCCTCAGCTCAGATGCTGACACTTAGATTTGCTAAGATCCTCCCTTTGCGCAGTGACAGAGAACTCTCTGTGGAGTGTCTCCTGCTGGCCGCAGTCTTTTCACATCTTCCTGAGTGACCTTAAAACGTCCCGTGTGTGCTCTCTCTTCCTCGTCTGGAGCTTGGCTTTGCTGCTTTTGGCAAATGCTCCCCAGTCTCTTCTGAAGCTGTGCCAGCAGCGCGTGGAATGGAAAGACAGCCCCTCCAGTTCCCAGCTTTGGTCTGTTAACCCTGCAGTGGCCAGGCTGCTGACTTCCCACAAGGTTGGTGGGGCTAGGTTCGCCACGGGCTGGCACCAGTTCATCCCTCCTCATTTGTGTTTCACATCTCCAGTTCCTGCGGGAGGAGAGGTTTTTTAAAAAAAAGATTTTAGTGATGTGTCAATAGTTGGATTGTAGTATACAGGAGGAGTCCAGTTAAGCCTCTGCTGCCTGTTTGACAGGGCAGTCCTGTTTGTTTGCAGGCCCGCTGTTTTTTCACTGATAGTTCCAAAGTTGTTCTTACTCAGTACCTGTCCAACTCCCCAATGAAAGTTTATTACTGAATCGTTTTCCACCTCTCTCCTGGATCTTGTGTGAAATGGCATTGAATCACTGTTTCTGCACCCCCTCCCCAGGTGGACAGGTGCACAGAATGGTGCCCTTAACAGGATGCTCTGTTACTGTGACAACAAGGCCCGAAACGTCAGCCTTCCTGCTCCTATGATGCTGCTTGGCCTGCTGTGTTCATCCAGCTCTACGCCTTGTTGTCACTGATTCTCCAGCATCTGCAGTTCCTACTATCTCTGCTCTGTTACTGTGTTCTACTTTTGGAGATGACAAATCTTTCAGTCCTGGTCTTCACTAATGTGGCTTGGACCCTGACAGGGGAGTTGGTCCTTCTGAAGAAGGGATTTAACTGTGATGTGCCACGCTGGAATTCACCTGGAATTGTTGAAATGTCCTGCCATGGGCCTAAGTTCTCCCTCTGATGATAGAGTCTCAGTCTGTCCTCCCATTGCTGGAGGAAACCATATGTTGACTTTTGAATCTCTGCCTCTCTTCCCAATTTGAATGTTGTCAAATGAAACTCCTTTTAGCATATACCCTTTGGAGGTCAGTGCTGGGGACCCCTGTCCCTTAGCACCCATGCTCCCTTCACCTTCCCCACCATCATTTGTTGTTCGGCCTTTTAAGAAATAAGAAATAGGAGCAGGCCTCTCCGCTATCCAGTAATATCATGGTTGATCTTTTCGTGGACTCGGTTCCACTTACCTGCTCACTATAACCCTCAATTTCTTTACTGTTCAAACATCTCTCTTCGCCTTAAAAACATTCAATCAGGAAGCCACAACTGCTTCACTGGACAGGGAATTCCACAGATTCACAACCCTTTGGGTGAATAAATTCCTCCTCAACTCAGTCTGAAATCTGCTCCCCCTTATTTGGAGGCTATGCCTTCTAGTTCTATTTCACTTATCAGTGGAAACAACCTCCCTGCTTCTATCTTATCTATTCCCTTCATAATTTCATATGTTTCTAAAAGAAACCCCCGCCACCTTCTTAAATTCTATTGACTCTCGTCCCAGCTTACTCCATCTCTCCTCCTGAGCCAACCCTCTCAACTTTGGAATCAACCTAATAAACCCCCTCCAGTGCCAGTACATCCTTTCTCAAGTAAGGAGACTCAAATTGTACACAGTTTACTGGTTTCTAGGTCTTTAGAAATCCTTCCCAAAACCTTTTCACATCTCTCTGTCTCTGCCTGCAATGTTCCTTAAAATCTCCCACTTTGATCGAGCTGTGCAGAAATCCCCTCTGTCTTGCTGCCGATTCTTGTCACGATTGCACAAACGTGACATGACTGGGGTGGGATGGGGACGTTTCCACTGAGTTAAAGGCGCAATACAAAACATAAAGAGCAGCTCTTGTGTAAGGAGGGCACTCTGTCCGCTCTGCTGCCAAGCCCAAAAGGCTCCTGGCATCAGCCCAGGTCCTGCAGTTTGCCAGCACTCTGTCGGAGATGCCATCTCGCCTTTCTCGTTGTGTTGAACCTCTGTGTGCCTTAGAGAGAGAAATGTGTCTCTCTCTCTTTCTGTCTCCGAACTTCTAAATCCTTTGCGAGAGTTGGGAGGCGGAATTGTTGACGCGGGCTGCCTCGGCATTTCCCGCTCTCAAACAGTTAAGCCCTGCCAGTTGGCGAGCTCCTGACCCAGAGAGTCTCGTTCTGACGAGGGCGGGCCGCCTTGGGGTGGGATCAAAGGCTGTGGTACCATTCACGCCGGCGCAGTAGAAATTCGCTGCGGCTGTATTGTTATGCGGCCGTTCCACCGGCCAGTCTCGTTCATGCCTGTGAACTGCGGCTGTCGGAGACTCGAGGCAGGCGGCGTTGGGTGGGCTGGCGATGGGGCTCTCTGTGCCCGTCTCTTCTCGAGAACATCGTGCTGCATCGGCTTCTGGTCAGGTTCAGCAGCCAGCATGTGCGGGTCGCTCCTGTTCGCCCAGCCCTCACCTGGCTTTTGGGGATCTGATCAGATCTGATTGAATTTTGTGGGGTGGAGGAGGGGGGGGGGAGTCCTGAGCAGGCAGCGTTTCGGCTTGACCGAATGTTTTGACACGCGGTGTTTTTGTTTTCCGCTTTTAAAATGAATGGGACTTCAGGTGGTCGTGGAGAATCGCAACAGGCATCCACCCAGAAGGCTGGGGGGCTGCCAGCGATCGAGAGGGAGGGACAGCCGCATTGCAGTGGCGACAAACATCTCAGAACTTGGGCCAATTTGTTCAGTTCAAAGAAACACGTGTCTCTCCTAGTGTACCAAAGGCTTCCCCAGTGTTACTTGATCTTGAGCGCTTGGCGACTTAAGTCGCCGATGCCTCTCTGCCTCTGAGATGGGCGTGGGCATCTCATAAATGAATTACTGTGTCGTGAGCAGGGTGGTCGCCATTTTGATGGAAGTCCGCTTGTGGCCTCAGGTGCAAGTGAGTACGTTGCTTTTGTCAACCGGTTTCTCATCTTGGTGTGGTTTCCAGGCGTGCACGGAGTATTGGCTGAAAGCATGTTGTGTGCCTTCAAAACAAAAGACGCAGTATTTTCTGTAGGAATGCACTAGTTGTTAACCCCAAGTGCCGGGGTTTGTAGACAGTTCCTGTTAATAATTACAGGAATATCTTGAGCAATTGGGAAGTGATTTAAGACCCTTGCAGCTCCCTGCTACAAGCCGCTGTATGTGGACAGATATTCAGGCCGACTGCACAAGAGATCATGCATTTCATCCATTATGGTCACCAGTCAAGACCTTGGCTCAATGCTGCCTTTGTCACTTCCATCAGCCATTCAATCATCCTCATCTCTGTAACCTGTGACCCCTGCAACCCTCTATCTCTGTAACCTGTAACCTCTATGCTCCTCCCCATCTCTGTATCCTCTAACCCCTACACCCTTTCCTGTCCCTGTCACCACCACCTGCCCTTACGCCCCTCCGTGTCTGTCACCACCTCCCGCCCCTACGCCTCTCCCCGTCTGTCATCTCCTCCCGCCCCGTGCCCCTCCCAATGAGGAACGGTCTAACCCTGCGTGAGCACCCCAGCAGGTGTAAAACTGCAGGTCTGACCCACCTGCAGTGGGCATCCATTTAGGTTGCTGTGTGTCCAGTTAACCGTTCTGTTTCTTAAATTGTTGTGGGGCGAACCTGCTGCCGGGTTTGTGTTGCTAAAAGCTTTTAGAGGCAGTTTATTGGTTACGATCAGAATCATGTCTGGTTTCGGGAGGTTTAAGGAGGAGTTTATAAGAGTGAGGGGTGACTCCAGGTTGGAAATGGGCAAGATTTTGAATGGCCTTCCTAACATGGGCATGGAATGAATGTTTCCTCTTCTGGGTGAGTGCAGAGTGAGTGGGCATTGTTTTAAAATTCACGACCACCCTTTTAGGACTCAGATGGAGGGAAACGTTCTTCTGAGGGTTGTGTAACTTTAGCACACTATTTCTGAAGTCAGGGAAGGTGAGATGGTTGAATAAGGTGAAGGTAGATTGATTCTTGTTGTGGGTGAATGGGAACCTGGCATTCAGACTGTAAACATAGATTGGCCACAATCTTTATCACATGGTACAGCAGGATTGGAGCTAAGTGGCTGCGATTTTGTTTGCTCAGTAACTGTTCTTGTTAGCAGGGAGCTCTGTAAATGAAGGCCCACAGAGGCATGGGGGACCTGAGAAATCTTCTCAGATGCTGCCTGGAAAGGAAGAGGGGGCCAGATTCAGTCATGACTTTCACGAGGTTTGATCCCTATATGGAGGGGACTGAACCAATGAGAGGAGAACAGGTTGCTAGCTCTTTGGAGCTTTCCATTGACATGAGGGCAGAATTGCCTCCATTGTTGTATGATTCTCTCTGCGCATGTACACCCGAGAGCTGCTCAAATCATTTCGGTACAGTGACCGTTTGGACATCATTATAGCAAGGCCCATTTTGGCTCTGGGTGGGTCACCGAGTGGAGACGAATCCGGTCTTGGTTCTTTTAAATGCTTCCCAAAACATTGTCTTTTTCCTTTTTGAATTCTCAGAGTGGTTGGCACGGAGGAGCGGATACCTATCCCACTGATGGATTATATACTGAACGTGGTAAGTGACCTGTTACCTATCCAGACCCCAGTAGTCTGTACCCCAGTGTTATACAGCGACAGACCCGTCCCCCACCGGTACCGTACCCCAGTGTTATACAGTGACAGACCCGTTCCCCCACCGGTACCGTACCCCAGTGTTATACAGTGACAGACCCGTTCCCCCACCGGTACCGTACCCCAGTGTTATACAGTGACAGACCTGTCCCCAGCAGTGCTGCACCTTTAGAGTTATTGTTTCACAGACTGGGTGTCATTGGCTAAGCCAGCGTTTATTGCTCACTCCAAATAGATCTGAATTTATGATCAGTTCAGCTTTTGTGCTGTTTTTGATTTCTGGCTGCATGCAACTTGAGTTCCCTAATCCCATTGAAGGAAAACGTAACACAAGATTGAGCAGTGTCTACTATCTACAAAATGCACTCAAGCAGTTGAGCCAGTCTTCACTGGCTGCACCTTCCAAACCTACTATCTATACGCCCTAGCTGCGCACACGGGGACATCAAGTGCAAACTTCCTTTCAAAGCATATGCCATCCTGACTTTGAACAATATTGGCTCTTCCTTCACTGTGCCACTGGGTCAGAAACCTGGAATCCCCGTCCCTTACGGCACTGCAGGTGGCCCTATACCACATGGATTGCAGCAGGTCAAGAAAGCAGCTCGCTACTGCTGCCTTAAGAGGCAATCAAGAGGATAATAGTTGCTAGATCTTGTCCTGTGAAGGAAATAAAAGAAAAATGTGTTTTGTGGTTGGTTACTTTTCCGATTCACGCTCTGTGTCAAAAGTTGCAACCTCCTTGCTTGTCCCATCCAGAATGCAATCCTGCCACAAGTGGGCCTTCGTTGTTCTTTCCCTGCTCCCCACCACTATCTTTGATCTTAATTCCCTACCCTTTCCCTGCCCAGAATCCCGAGGCATGGTGTAGGTGCAGCCTGCTCTGGCTGAGATATGTTACACAGCAAATGTCAGGTGGTTAGACCAGGAGCCATCTCACTCGCCTCTTTGCCTCACTATCCTAATGCTCTGACCAAGCTTGCAGCAAATTGCCAGGTTTGGTCCATGACTTCCGTGGAATTTGGCAGCATGGTAACTGACCGAGCTGTGTTTCTGCCCCAGTTGTGCTTCGTCCCACTTTAACTGATCCGAGCCTGTTGATAAGAGCGCGTGATCTGGGTGCTGGAGTGGACCATTCAGCCTGTTGAGCCTGCTCCACCATTCACTGTGGACATGGTTGATCTATGGCTTCAGTTCCACTTGCCTGCCTGCCCCCTGTATCCCTCTGACCCAGCCTCAAAGATGGAACAGCCACAACCCTCTTGTGTACAGGTTTCCAAAAATTCAGAACCACCTCTGTCAAGTAATTTCTACTCATCTCAGCCCTAAACAATCGTCTCATTATTCTCAATGTCTTCCCATGTGTTTTAGATTCTTCAACAATCTCTCAGCCTCCACTCTGTCCGAGCCCCTTCAGAACATTTGTATGTTTGAGTGAGGTTGTCTCTTGTTCTTCTAACTCCAGAGGATATTGGCCCAGTTTATTCAGCAAACCGCTCCTCCCAGAGATCAACCTTGACTGTAGCACCTCGAATGTGGGACATTATTTCTTAAACATGGGAACCAAAACTGTGCGCAGCTGTGTTCTCAGCAAAGGCCCATAGAGTTCTAACCAAGCCTATCTCTCTCTACTCCACTCTTAAATCTAGTGTCCCCTAACCACTGTATGTATCTCTCTCTCGTTCCACAAGATGAAGTTTGTCGAGTCGATCCTGAGCAACAACACAACCGATGACCACTGTCAGGAGTTTGTAACCCAGAAGGGGCTGCAGCCTCTCGTCTGCATCCTGGGGCTGCCGAATCTTCCCATCGACTTCCCCACTTCTGCTGCGTGCCAGGCTGTCGCAGGGGTGTGCAAGTCCATTCTGGTGTGTAGTCGCAAGATCTCTCACTCTGTGTCTGTGCAGCATTCGCGCGTGCTCTCGCTGCCTGCCTGTGTCTGATTTACAGAAGCTTCCATCAGCTGTAAAGCCATTGTTGATTTTTTTTATTTATTAATTATCGAAAGGTGGTGAGTCTCTTTGATTTGGTAATATGTGCCTCTCTTAAATGAGGTGCTTAACTAGTTTGTTTTGTGCCAGGAATATCAGCTAGAACATGATCCAAATCTAATCCGTCTTGTCCCCATCGTATTCCCACAGACATTGTCGCACGAGTTGAAGGTGTTGCAGGAAGGTCTTGTTCAGCTGGACACCATACTGTCGTCTTTGGAGCCGCTGCACCGACCTATCGACACCCCCGGTGGCTCCGTCCTCCTGCGGGAGCTGGCGAATGCTGGCAACGTGGTCGACGCCACGCTCTCGGCCCAGGCCACGCCGCTGCTGCACGCTCTCACTGCAGCACACGCCTACATCATGATGTTTGTGCACACCTGCAGAGTGGGCCAGGTGAGGGTCAAAAGCTCTGCTTGTTGGGTAAAGAGCCATGAGGTCAAAGTTCACTCTTCCGGAAGCTGAACACCCTGCAAGGTTAACTGCTGGTTTGCGCCCTCGCTCCTGCGCCCAACCTTGCATATGATTGCCAACTCTATTGCCCCCATGCTCCATTCTTTTTGGGTACCTGTTACCTGCTTGTTTCCTTGTGAGACGTGCCTTAGAACTAGACTGTGGGTCTCCTTATGTAGGTCAGTCTTTGGAGGCAGCATGGTGGTTCTGTGGTTAGCACGGTCTCTCAGTGCCAGGCACCAGGTTTAATTCCACCCTCGGGCATTTGTCTGTCTGTGTGCAGTTTCCACGTTTCCTCTGGGTGATCTGGTTTCCTCCCACAGTCCAAAGATATGCAGGTTCGGGTGGATCAGCCATGCTAAATTATCACGTAGCGTATAGGGATGTGCAGGTTAGGGTGGATTGGCCATGGGAAATGCAGGGTTACAGAGATAGCATTATTTCTTAAACATGGGAACCAGAACTGTGCGCACATGTTGCAGATGTGTTCTCAGCAAAGGCCTGTAGAATTCTAACCAAGCCTGTCTCTCTCTACTCCAACCCTTAAATCTAGTGTCTCCTAACCACTGTTATGTATCTCTCTCGTTCCACAAGATGAAGTGGATCTGGGTGGGATGTTGTTTGGAGGCACGGACTCGATGGGTCGAATGGCCTGCTTCCACACTGTAGGGATTCTATGATTCTGAATTACTCCAATTGCTGCCGGGATATTTTGCCACATTAAGGGTCCGGTTTATGAGTGTGAGAACCGTCCAGTTTTCGAGCGTGTGAGGCGTGTCTGATCATCTGTGAGTAAGCCCAAGTGGTATTGCAAAATGGATTGATTTGCCAAGCCCTGACTCTTTGCTTTTTTTCCAGAGTGAAATCCGTTCCATATCTGTGAACCAATGGGGCTCTCAGCTGGGCCTGAATGTCCTGAACAAGCTCAGCCAACTATACTGCTCGCTGGTGTGGGAGAGCACTGTCCTACTGTCCCTTTGTACCCCAAACAGGTGAGCACCGCGGCAAGGCCAAAGGAGCCAGGAGAGAATCTCCTGGTGCTCGAATCTTAGGAAACACTGGAGGCCCCGGGGTTGTGCAGCCATTCAGGATGTTGAGCCCTGATCCTAGAGGGGTGAGAGGACAGATTTTAAAATTCCTCCCAGAATTGATGCACCAGGAACTAGGGGAGACTGGACCCCAAATGCAGAAAACCAAGCATTGTGTGAAGTTAAGGGTAGAGCTAGCCTTCATTGGGGATTGCGCCAAAACATTGCGCTACCTGGCTGCTGCATATCGGCACTTTGTTTGATGTTGGACAGGGTGTGGTTATTGCAGTTTGAGCTCGCAGTTACTGTGCTTGTTCACAAGAATGGTTCAGTACAAACTGCTTCAGTTGTGAGGAAAGCTGAGTCTGTTTCCCTTGTGCAAGAGAAGGTGAAAGGGAGATTTGGTGGGAGTGTTCGAACCGCGAGAGGTCTGACAAACTGGACTGAGAGAAAGTAAGAACAGCAGATGCCGGAGACAGAGATAACACCGTGTGGAGCTGGAGGAGCACAGCAGGCCAAGCAGCATCAGAGGAGCAAGAAAGTTGATATTTTGGGTCAGGGCCCTTCTTGAAGGGCCTGGACTGGGAGAAACTTTTCCCTCTGCTTATCAGAGAACCAGAGGTTTTAATGGCTTGGAACGGAGTAGGTGAAGTGAGAAAAATCTTTTTCACACAGCAAGCAGTTGGGTCTTGGAATGCACCATGTGGAAAATTAGTGGAGGCAGCTTCGGTGCATTCACAACATCACTAGAATTTTACAGTACAGAAAAAGACCATTCAATCCATCATGTCTGTACCAGCTTCTGAAAGATCTACCACATTAGTCCCACTCTCCAGCCGTATCTCTGTAGTCCTCCAACTTCATCCCTTTCAAATATAAATCCAGCTCTCTTTTGAAACCTCCTACGCAATCCTCCACCAACACTCTTGCAGGCATTCCAAATTCTAACAACCCTGAGTAAAGAAGTTTTTCCTCATCTCCTAGTTCTCTCCCTGACCATCTTGAAATTGTGACCCCCAGTTGTTGACGTACCAGCTATTGGAAACAAAATGTCCTTTCTCACCCTGTCAAATTGTTCATAATTTGAACACCTCCATAAGATCACTACTTAATCTTCTCTGCTTCAAGAATAAGCTGAATTTCTCCAATCTTACCTTGTATCTAAAAATCCCTCATTCCTGGCATAATTCTAATAAATCTCCTTTGAGCTCTTTTCAGGGCTCTAACATCCTTACCGTGCCCAGAACTGACTACAATACTCCTAATGTGGTCTGACTAATCATTTGTAGAGCGGTAGCATCACTTGCTTGCTTTTGTATTCAGTCTCTACTTATAAACCTTCTACACTTCCTTAATAACTGCAACATGCCTGGCTACCTTCAGAGAATGATGTACATAAGCCCCGAGGTCCCTCAGCTCCTGTATTCCCCTCCAAGTTGTACCATCAAACCTGTATTGTCTCTCCGTTTCATTTACCAAAATGCACTACCTCACATTTCTGTGCTTTGAAATTCATCTGCCTGTTTGGCCAACTTGTCAATGTCCCTCTGAAGTTGCTCAACATCCTCCCAATTCACCATTCTTCTTAGCTCAGTATCATCTGCAAATGTAGAGATTTGCAGCCCTCAACACCCAGCTCCAAATGATTTGTATAAATCGGAAAACACAAGGGTCCTAACATCGATCCCTGGGAAACACCACTTTCAACTTGTCTCCAATCTGAGAAATGCCCATCTGTACCTATCCTCTGTTTCCTATTTTCTAATCCATGCTGCTAAGGACCTATCAATCCCAAATAGTTCGAACTTGCTAACCAACCTGCTGTGTGGCACTGTATTGAATGCTTTCTGAAAATCCAAATATACAACATCCACAGCATTACCCTCATCCACTGCCTGTGTCACTGCATCAAAGACCTCAATCAAGTTTGTCGGATATGACCTCCCCTTGACAAGGCAATGTTGACCATCTAGTATCAAGGATTCTGAGATTCGAGCTGCCAGTGGTACAAGGTGATGAAGTGGATAAAATGCATCATCATGATAGAGTGGTGGAGCCTGCTCAACAGGCTGAAAGGCCTGTTCCTGTTAGCGTTTTCCTGTCCTTCCCCTGAGAAAATGGACTGCGAGCAATGGTGAGATTTTGTGGGGGGCAGTGGGGGGTGCTGATGTTAGCACTGCAGTGCAATCTGCAAATTTTGGACACTTTGCACAAGGTTATGAAGTGCAACTCGAAGGCACGTGTGGAAACTAACTGTCTTGTTTGGATTCAGTCTTCCAGCTGGCTGCGAGTTTGGCCAGGCCGACATGCAGAAGCTGGTGCCAAAAGAGGACAAGCCTGCCACTGCTGCCACACCAGGTACCTCCACTGGAGCGAAGCGAGCAGGTGAGCTCTTCACACTATCATGCCAGTCAACAACAACAGCTCACATTCATGCAACACCTTTTTAACGTTGTTAAGCTTCATGGTGCTGGCAAACCAAAAGTGATGCTGGACCCTGTGCAGAGATATGACAAGAGGCTAGAAACTGTATCCCAGGGATAGATTTTAACTTGAAGGAGGTTGGTAGGGCTGGGGTGTGAATTAGAGTTTGGAGCTGAAGGCACATCCACCAACGCCGGCACGATTTAAATTGGGAGAGACCAGGACTGGTGCAATGCTGAGATTCTGAGAATAGCGAGGCTTCCAGATGGTGGAAGGGACTCTGTGGAGGGGATTTTAAAATGTAGGTGTTGTATGGTCGAGGGCCAGGGGCTGGCACAGTGGATATCACAGGGTGATATGTGAGTAGGCCTTGCAGTGAATGAAAGTGCAAGTCAGCAGTAACCCTGGCTCAGATCTAATGCACACTGGACACCGGGAGGTCCATCATGTTTTGAGGCTGTTCTTGTTTCACGTGACCTCGGACATTGTGGAGGTCCAACTCCCACTTGCAAAGAAATCAAAGGCTTCCTGACGCCAATTAACCCCCCCCAACTTCTCTTTCCTTTTGAACCTCCGTTCCCCCCACCCCCAAAAATCCCATATTCTTTGGCATTTCAGAAGCAGAAATGGACGCTGCAAACAGTACAGTGGAGGCATCAGCTCAGGGGCTCTTGGAGGGGATTAGCCTGGATGGGGACACCCTTGCACCAATGGAAACGGATGAACCCAGCACCTCCGATGCCAAAGGGAAGTCCAAGATTACGCCGGCCATGGCTGCACGGATCAAGCAGATCAAACCCTTGCTCTCGGGTGAGTCTTTGCCAGTGAATTGTGCCAGAACGGATTCAACGTTCGTAGGTCCAGTTGCTGTGGATGCTGTCAACTCCCTCCAACACGGCCACTGTGTTGCTGCTTTAGCAATGAAGATGAGCACAGTGGCTTCGCTGGGGCTATTCTGGAGAGACACTGGAGATGGTCAGTGGTCAAACGCTGACTGGACTTAGCCATCTGTTGGGTTCCCCCACCCAGAGTCTGTCTGTGTCTCTCTTTCGCTCCCGGTTCTCTCTCTCCCATCTCTGCCTCCTCCTTCTGCCACCCCCAAACCCCAACTGCCTCCTCCCTCTCACACTTTCTCTATCTCCCTCCGTCCCTCCCTCCGTCCCTCCCTCC